GCTTGAAATAAGGACTATCTAGCTACTACCCTTAAAGGGTAGATCGAATACTGTATAAGAAGGGTTATATTAGCAGGTAGATAGGGTGGTAGTAAATCAGTTTAGTATTCGATAAGGATCTAGGAGGAGAGGGAGGAAGGTAGGAGAGTTAGCCTAACGCTAAGCGCTAAGCCCTACCTAAGGCATCGAGACCCTAGCTTCACTCGGCCTAGTTACATACCAATCACATATAGCCTCTTTGGCCCTAACAGCAAGTCGGCTTTAGTGCCCGTATAGGCCAATTTGTTCTTTGTTTTAATAGGGTTTATAGTATCTAATAGGTTGAGATCCCCCTAGGGAAGGCTAACCTAGGACATACTAAACCATTTATAGCTCTCTTTGTAGCGGCAAAGCTTAACTAGTCCTATAATGTTTATAATAAGGCTTACCCTACCCTAGCCTGTCTAGAGGTAGAAACAGTTATTCTTACGAATAAATAGGGGGTCGAGTCGATACTGCCTTTTAAACCTAAGTTATAAAGGGACTTAATGTACGTATTTGCTCTTTGAATATTAACTCGGTACGCAATCCCGCTAGATTTCGTACGGTCTATAAGTTTATAAGAAGCCGCTAGTTTAATGTTATATTGCTTTAGGATACGCGCCTAAGTAATAAAATGTCTTTGTATTATAAGCTAATATTCCTAGGTATCCTCTTCCTTAACAACCCGTCGGTTGCGGACAGAGGAGGCGTAGGCATCCTAGTTAATAGCTTTACTACTGCGTTTGCTAAAGGCTTACCCCTTTACGCGGACCTAGATAGGAGGCTTTTAGTTTATAGGTTAATCTATAAAGAGGTCGTATTTACTGTCTCCTATATATACGCCCTAGCGAACATTAGACCGAGGCTTAAGTACTTTAACTAAGCGTCGATAAGATTAAGTGAGTTAGTAGAACCTATTAACTATAACATAGTTAGAGGGGACTAGAACTAGTGCTCCCTAGGCATTAATAGAAGGAGCGGGGCTCCTAGTCGGGTTTCGGTAGTCTTAGCTATAAAGCAATTTATAGGTAAACTGCGATCTAATAATACTAACTTTATTAATAGATAGAGAGAGCTCTATCCTAACCGCATTGAATTTACGTATTTTGTTCTATCCTCCGGGATATCGAGGATCGACCGTATTTACGTACGGGCTAACTAGTTTAGTAGGATAGCTTAATAGCGAATACTATCAAATAGCGGGATTTCTGACTATAAAGCGGTATCTGTTGAAATTGGACGGCCTAAATCTAATAAACGAGGACTAGGAAGATAGCGGTTACACCTATTAATACTAGACAAAAGATAGGTAGTAGCTAGCTACTACTAAGCTCTTGTCCTGTTACCCTATAAGGACCTTATTAGTAAATAGCCTAAGTACAAAGCGGGCATTCAAGCCTGCCTTCGCCTAATAATAGAGGAGCGGTATAAGCGATTACGCAAGCTCTCTAGGAATTTGACGAGGCAGCGCTCGACTTTGATAAGTAAGCGAAGGTCTAAAGTAGTAGATCGAGACCTAGAGCTTAGGATCGAGGCTATAGAGGTAAAGGAAAGTTACCTCGCTAAGTAGCAATTTAAGAACTACTCTTACTACGCCCTAGCTAAGCACTTGCTACTAGGAGAGCGGCCTACTAAGTAGTTCTTCTCTTTATATAAGGCAATAACGTATACCTATATCTCTAGCCTATTAGACAATAAAGGTATAGTTCGAACTAAACCTAAGGAACTCTTAGCTATTGCCGGATAGTTTTATAAGGAGTTGTATACTAAAAAGCTATCGGCTAGGTAGGCCCGCGATAGGATCTTAAACTGTTTAGATAAGAGGATTAGTACGAAATCGGCAAAGGACTATATCGACCTTAACTATATAGATAAGGTTTAGTTATCGCTTAAAAGAGTAGCCGTAGGGAGGTCGCCGGGGTTTAATAGCTTACCTACTAAGTATTACAAAGCTCTTATCCGCGTAGAACCGAGTACCGTACGAATTAGGACTAATAGGAAAGTAGAACAAGAACCGCTACTAATTGCCTACCGGATCGCTAAGGTTAGTAAGCAAATAATAGTTAGGAACGAGCTCCTAGAGGGATAGATAGACGGTATCCTTACCCTTCTCTATAAGGAAAAGGGCTCTCCCGAGGAGCTAAAGAATTACCGACCGCTATCTATAATAAATGTTGATTATAAGATCTTTACTAAGGTTCTTATACAAAGGATAGTACACGTATTGAAGGATGTTATCGGCCCCTATTAAAGTGCCTTTTTACTAGGGCGCTTAATTGACGACAATGTTAGGACAGTTTAGTTCCTAATCGACCGACATCGACCTCGAGGCAATAGACCCCCGATTAATAAAGAGCCTATCGCTATCCTCTTCCTAGATTAGGAGAAAGCCTACGATAGAGTTAGCTATACTTTCCTTTAGGCGGTATTAAGCAAACTCGGCTTCCTAGACTAGTTTATTAGGTAGATTAAGCTGTTGTACTCTAATGTACGTACTCGGGTTTACTTAAACGGCTTCCTTAGAGATTCGATTTAGGTTTACTATAGCGTACGCTAAGGTAACCCTATAAGTTGTCCTCTCTATATCGCAGCTATTAAGGGATTGGCCTAACTTATCCTAAGGGACCTAGAGAATAGAAGAGATTTCTAAGGTCTTTACGAAGGGACAGGTTATTAAGCTAATAATATATGTAGATAATACGGCGGTAGTTCTACGTAATTAATTAGAGGCAAACGCCCTAATAAAAGCGCTTAATATATACTCCGCAGCATTAGGTGCAAAGGTTAACTAGGATAAATCATACATCCTCTATATCGGTAATATCTAACTATTAGCTTTACCTAGTGTCTAGGTAGTCTCTCCGGAGCACCCCTATAAACACTTAGGGATCCTAGTAGGGATAGATATCGATATACAATTAAAGGACTTCTAGGTAAAGATCTAGGACAAGTTCGAAACGGTAGCCTCCTAATAGTTAAAATATTACCTATCTTTAAAAAGGAGAGTGTTAGTAGCGAATGCCCTAATAATGTCCTTACTCCGATACGCGATAAGGTTCCTTAAAGTCCCTATATCGACGAGAAAGGCGTTAGAAAAGGAGTACTATCGCCTAGTATAGGATAGCCGGAGATACACGATTACTAACCTAAAAGCCTGCTACGCGAGAAAGGAAGGCGGCTTAGGCTATATAGATATTAACTCTATTATTAATAGTAGTGTTACTGCTACTATAATGCGAGCTACTACTAGACCTAGTCTAGTATAGGCCTCTCTAGCGAACGAGGTATTAGTAGGATGCGCTAGTACCTAGTCTATTAATAATGCAGTTACTAACCCCTAGATCTAGGCCTTCTCTTCGCGAGTTTAGGCGGTTCTAGGTTCGGTAGGTTACCTCTAGAGAAGGTAGAGTTTACTCTATAACTTTACTAAGGAGGACTGTATTATCGTAATAGACCCGCCGAAGACTCGTAATAATATACTATCTACCGCATTGTTCTACTACCCCCTAATCTCTCCGGGACTAAGGGCGGGGGCAAGGCGGTAGAATAGTAAGGGATAGAAGCTACTCTAGAATATAGGGGCTCGGCTATTAGGGGACGTATAGGACCCTAATAAAAGAGCCCCTAATATTCCTACTACAATTGTTAGTAGAAGTAACATTAATAGGGCCCGTAAGGCTATTAGGGGCTTAATTAAAGCCCTACCGACGGATTAGCGGGCCCTACTTAATAAGAGGGATAGACCTTAGAGATCTCGGCCTCGTTATAAATACAAGTTTAGAACCTATAGCGACCCGGCTAAGCTTAGCAAAGTCGGCTTCGCTACGGCGTATAGGACTTTCGTTGCGAGGCGCCTAAAGGGATATAGCTTTAATAGGCTAACTTAGAGGTATCTCTAGGCATATAAGTTAATAACGGGATGTAAAATAGACCTAGAGGACCTCTAGAAATTACTCCGCCTCCTATACGGTACGCTAAAGGCAGGTAACCTACTCTAGCGGATCGTATATAGAAAGGTCTAATCGGGCTCTTAGCTTATATAGATCGAACCGGTATAGTAGATGTGCCCGGTAGACGGGAGGGATCTCTCCCTAAACTATATTTAGCTAGACTATAAGGTCTCTAAGGCGGTTTAGGAGGAGTTCTACTTAATATAGTATAGAGTCTCCTCGGTTTAAGTTCTAGAGGTAAGGACGTTAGACGGGCTAGTAGTCTTAACCGCCTTTTTACTAAACCTCCGTAGATTAGATAAAAGGCGCTAGCTCGTACTAAGCTAGGCTCTAGTATAGGGTTTGTAGAAGTGTTACCTATTATACTCCTTTACTAAGCCGGTTAACTATTAGCGTATCGATACGGCAGTTGAGTTTTTTAGGACATTAATTAGGAAATAGGTCTACGTTAATCGGATAGCCTACTTAACTAATAAGTATATAGGAAAGAAGTACAACGCGAGGACCTTTAAGTAACTCTAGGGGTAGGAACCGAAGCAGGTTAGGATCCGACGGGAGCCTCGGATCCTTTAGTAGGTATATATTACTAGAGGGCCCTTCTAGGCTTTAGTGTTGTTAGATTTAGAAAGGATTATATAGGATTAAGGTAGCGTAGTATTCTAGTCCTCGCACGCTCTTCCCTTAAATTAAGTAGGTGCGGTACTAATTACTATCGACGGAAGATAGTATATAGGGGAGCGATAGTAGAAGGGTTCGACTCCCTTAACGAACTGCCGGTGCCGGGTATCTCCTCTATAGCAGTTAATGAATGGCAGACAGGGTAGTAGCTGGCTGCTATATAGTTAGCTGCTGGAATAAAAACAATCTTATTGCTCGATCTGTAGCGCTGGTTACAATGTCAGTTTCAGAGGGTGCAATCCTGGCTTCCTGACACATGTGTTGGTCTCGCCGCCGCAGGCTATCCGAACTTGTTCACGAGTCTAGGTCCAAACAGTACCGGGCTAGCACCAATGTTGTGCCACTCGGTAGGTCAAGGGCCTTCGAAAGGGCTCCACGCAAGCCATCCGAATGACCGTGCCCACTGAGGAGGCTGTAAGAGATTATCCGGCATACTGCGAATCATACTTGCCGCGAACCGTCATGGGCTTACACTGCTCTTCGTGGTGCAATGGTGGTATGGAGGGTGAACGAATATGTGGTCTCTGGCCGGGGAGTGCGGCGCACGCCGATGTTGTGAGGAGAGAACCGAGATGGGAGGACTCCAGCTATCCGCATTGCAACGAGCAAGGTAATCGGCTTGTGTACTTTGGCAATGGATGGTCAAAAAGAGACATTGCGGCGGCGTCGAATCTTAACGATGCTGGTGTCGAGTTGACTCCCTGGTTGCACAAATGTAAGCATCTGTGCAACGGTTTCACGGTTGGTGAATGAACAGGTGAATAAACAACGACTAAATATAGGGTCACAGGCCGCTGTAGGCTGTAGCATTTGCCAACCGTTAGCATACACCCTCTTCGGGGGCTCTTCCAACGTTTCGGTGCTATGTATTATCATAATTATCTACACCCTGTAGAAGAAACTCCGACCCCTGCGGCTGCTGCTTTATCCAATAGGAGAAGCAGACTGTAGCGGCAACCCACATCGGACTCTATGCCTGTATTGAGTTACAATCTTCTACTCGGGCGGCGGACGCAGGGACGCTGGCATTCGGTTCTTGAAAGAGGGTGTATATAGGCCCTAGCTACGTTAATAAGTGCACTATCTACGGCTTAGCGGCCAGCAGGTAGAAAGCAGGATTCTGTTATCTGATTTGTTCTCTCCGCTAGATTAGAATAGGGCAAGCACTACACGGATAGAACGATACTTTATTATACGGAGGACAATAACCGGCCTTGTTAGTAAGGAGGTCCATCCTAGTGTGAGTTTCATTACTACTTTATTACGTCGAGGAATCGAGGATTACATTAAGGGTAAAGTGTTGTTTTCCCGGATACGAGACTGCGAGTACAAATAGTGCTTACGATCACTGTCTTTCGATCGATCTTAGCATTCACTAACACAACCTGTCCTCTACAGTCGACATCGCAAAACAGCAAGAACACTATGCGGTCTATACTCAGCGTCGCTGCGACTATTACCGTTCTCGCATCAATCGGTTCCGCAGCGGTAGCCGGAGATGAATGTAATTGCAGCTCTCTCGCTAGTTGCTAAGCACTAGGAGCTTTTGGATGTATACAGCTTCAGAGCCCAAGCTGTGTCGACGAGAGTAGTGGCTGTGCTTCCGATTGCCGTGCCCTATTACTTAGCTTTTCCTATACCAAGCACTAGTAAGTAGCGCATTTGCGAATTGTCGATCAGTTCTTAACACAAGATATAATAGGTCAAACGACAAGCAATGCGTTTGTAGCTTACAGAGCGCTAACAAGTGTTAGCAAAGGGATAGGGAGGCGGACATAGCCCACTGCTTTCCTAAGCAATGTGTACACAGCAAAAAATATGCCAGTCAAGCATCCGTTTGCGGTACCCACATGCGCATACGCCGTGGCGACTAGTACTTTTCTAGTCTTCTCAACAAGTGCAAGTCCGAGGGCCACACAGGTCTACACCCAGACTGTACAGCTCAAGGAAGGATGTGTGTTCAAAGCCTCGAATCGAAGGTTCAGGCCATCTTGTTCGCCACCAGGAACTCATCTTGTGGCGCATCGAATCTCTGGTCCTCCTGGTTGTCCAATATTAGGTAGTCTACGCAAATACTCATGATTCTATAAAAGTGACCCACAACGGCTCGAGGAACGACATAGAGATGGCGACAAGCGTAAGTAAAAGATCCTAGAGCCCAGCTCCCGAAGTTCTTGCTATTGTTTTGAAAGTACAGTCTCCTGTGGCGGCGGATAAACGGTAGTCTAAAGGCGATTCGAGGTTGAAACGAAGACGGGAGATGCGCCGGTTCGGTAGCAGTCAAACCATTCAGAGCTCATAGAGCTCTAATAAACGCCGTATGCTTAAGTTTCATCTACATGAGAAATATCGCTTTCGGCGATGTAGCCAAGTCCTTCGTTCAGCTTTTCCAAAACTTGTCGACCATCGTTTCCGTCATCCGTAATTCATCATTCCATATCTCAGTCGTAGTCACAACACTCGTCCTCGGCTTATGCGCCGTTGCCGTTGTAGGCAAGGTAGTTAGGGCTGCGAGCGCCAGCGGAAGTGATAACATCCTTGGTGCTCAAGTCCTGAATGCGTGAGCAAAGAGCGGATGGGCTGAGAGAACCCTCAAGGGCGATGAGGTAGGCAGCAAGACCAGCGATGTGAGGAGTGGCCATGCTAGTGCCAGAGATGGTGTTGGTGGAGGTAGTAGAACCGATCCATGAGGACTTGATGTTGACACCTGGAGCAAAGATATCGACGACTGGGCCGTAGTTGGAGAAAGAAGCCTTAGCATCGTTACTGTCAGTAGCACCGACAGTGCAAGCAGAAGTCTCGGATGCTGGAGAGTAGTTGCGAGCGTCCTTCCCGTCGTTACCAGCGGCGATGGCAGCGAAGACGCCAGCAGAAGTGGCTGACTTGACGGCATCGTTGGATTGCTGGGAGAAGCTACCGCCGAGAGACATTGAGATGACAGACTTGCCAACAAGACCCTTGTTCTGGGCGTCCTTTACAGCCCAGTCGATACCTGCGAGCACTTGCGAGTTGCTGCCAGAGCCGTTTGAGCCAAGAACCTTGACGCCGATGATGTTGGCCTTCTTGGCAACACCGTAGGTAGATCCAGCAACGGTGCCTGCGCAGTGCGTTCCGTGTCCATTTCCATCAGTAGCGGACTCTCCGGAAACAAAGTTGGCTCCCATCGTCGCACGACCACCAAATTCGCTGTGCTGAGTGTAGACACCCTGTATTGTCATTAGTGGAGCCTCATTCAGATCGAATGCCATGCACGTACGGTGTCGATAACGTAGACGGTTGTTCCGGCGCCCGCAGAGGTATCGTAGATGTAACCACTCTGACCCTTGGCTCTGTGGGATATTCTAGCAAGGCCATACTCTGCTCCGCTCTGGAGAGTAAGAGCACGCTTGACGAGCTCATCAGGGTTCATAGACACAGGAGCCGAAGCGAAGACCTTGGTATCAGGCTCAATGGACTTGATACCACCAACGGTGGAGATCAAAGCCAATAATGAGTCGGGGGCATCGAAGGCGAAAGCCTTGAAGCTGCCGATTTCGTATTGGTGTGATGGTGTGATAGCAGCCAGAGTTCGAAATGCTTGAAGAACTGTTGCTAGAGGCGAGTTTTCGTCGACGCGAGCGATCCATTTGCCTGCAATGGTATTCGGGGTCTGCCTCTTGTCGATGATTACATCGGCAAATGCAGCTGGCACTGCCAGGAGGAGAGTGAGGAATGAACGCATGTTCAGAACTGTCCTGGAGACTGCTTTGACGACGGAAAAACTGCTCTGAAATGCTGATTGCTGCTTAATGATTGATGCTGAGGATGGAATTGTTGTACCTCTTTATACTTATCTTGCCTACACACATTTGCACACGGCCGTCCGTGACACCTCTACCGTCCTGGGTTTGGTCTGGAGACGCCATGCCGTTATCATGGTGCCGTCTCGCTTGTGGCAATCTGTTGTGTTGGAAGATTGACAGTCCGCATCTTGCAGCCGTCTCTGCCACTGGCACTCGGAACAGAGTTGCGGGTGTAGCGACGTAAACGGTTTCGCACATCCGAACCTGCGCATGGTCGAGATCCTTACCGTCCAACGTAGATGCCCGTTTGAGACAAATGCGGCTCACCGAAAAGCTGGTTGGTTCGAAGAAGGTGCAGGTTGCAGACGGAAGCTACTAGTAAGGATGCACATGATCTGCTGAGGCGCATATCTGTACCATCACAGCTCAATTTTCCTATTCGGTGTTCGCCTGACCATCTTTGATAGTTCTTGGCAGCGGCACATCTGTTGCACATCATTGCTATAAGGCGTAGGCGACAAGCGTTTCCAAGAGTTGTAGATCGTTCCCAAGTGACGCCGCTCAAACGATTCGGGAAAAGCTGCCGCGATCTACGGACGATGGCATTCCTCGGCTAGAGCCAAGACAACCAGCGTCGAAGAACGGTGCGGATGACAACCACTTACCTGCCCTGTCCAGTTAGACAATAAGTTGCTATCTGTGATACAAGCAATACCATGCCAGTGAGCTTGTACAGTAGAGCTGCAACGGTCAGATGGCTCGAAGTGCTTATACTTCTGATTGCACTTCGTTTGCACCAATGAGGTCCTAGAAGGCAGAGGGAATCACGACCTAGTGCAGATCGCTTCCAGCCTTGCAGCACTGAAGTCGGAGGAGACTTTCCAATGCGTGGTAGTCCACATTCGACCGTGCGGGACTGAGCCAAATTCTGGTTTGGGTGAGTGTGCAGAGAGGACTGTAGTCGCTGAACGTCGTACAGAAGCTTTTGGGAGCGATTGGTGGTCTTAATAGACTCTGAGAAGAGCCACAAACGTGTGGGGAACATCGGAGTTGGAGAACGTGGCGGATGTCTCAAGCCAGCCCTAAGCGGAGACTGTGTACCAAGATTGCTTTCAGCTTTCGATGTGGCGTCGAGAATCCTAGATCTGGTGAATAGAGACTGCGAACGTTGAATATCAAGTCGTGTGTACTGCTAATGTTGCGAATACCTCTCGCTCACCTGCCAGGAAGTTTGCGCACCCCATAAACACAGCTAGGACCACGCTGCTTGCAACGTTCCAGAACATTTGGAGCGGTTCCTTGATTAAATTCGCCGAAGGCTACTGCACCTCTCGTGCACGCTATTCTCGCGTGCTGTTCGTGCGGTCGAACCTGTAACAATCAAGGTTTAGCAAGGGCTGCTACCAACTAGGCACGCCATACACTTCTGAACTGCATGGAAAGCCAAGGTCGTTAGTTAGGGCGCCATCGTCGGAGCACCTGAAAATCGCCGTAGATAGCCGTTGCTTGCAGCTGGCACAGCCTCGTATCGTTACCTTGAAATATCCTAAGCCCGAGCTGACAGACCATGGCACTATCCACGAATGGAAGGTGTGCAAGATATGGTATACAGTCGTATCTTGAGGCAGCGGCAGTTTACCCAAAGAAGAAGGCGCGTTGGGCTCAAGTCCGTCTAGCTTGACTGCGAAAGTGCTGATTGCTCATCGTTCCAATCCGAGCCACGATACGAAAGCTGATTTCGGAAAGCTCTCCTCACCGATGGCATAAATCATGGTAAGAGGCGCAATAGGGCGGCCAGACAGACGGCAAGATGAGCAGTAGTTCCTTGTAAGCGTCCCGCTCGGCAAAGACCACGATTGCGCCAGTATTATGCCATACGCGAGCTGGAGTTGTTGATTGACTAATCGCTTTACTGAGCGCTGCGCACATGCCTCAGCCCGGTGGATTCCTGCTGTCGATATTCTTGGCACCGGTCATTGTCCCAGCTCCTTCAGCTAATATGATGCCAAGGGTAGTCTGAGATGTTCGCATCGTAGAAATTCCTGCATCTTGCCATGCGGAACTTTGGTTGAGCATGCTCGGTGACGCTCTCGAATGATAAGATCATCGGAAATGCTGGGTGCCGTTTGGTACGCGTTGGAGAGCCATTCGCGTGCTTCGTCCATTTCCTTGGTTCATTCAGAGGCGGTGGAGGCGCTTGCCTTTCAGCTCGATCCGGGTCCGCTCTTCGGCGTCACGACCGCATGCGGCCATTTGCGGAATTGTCGAGGTCCTGTGTTGGTTCACAACGTGACGGTGTAGCAAAGGGAGAAACGTGAGATGTGGTTGAAATCCTGAGTCAATTTTTGAGCTTTCGCTTACGAATTGGTAAGCAGGGATGAAAGGAGGCCAACCTCAAATATGAAACTTCAGCTTCATAACACAGTTCGCCTTCACCACCTTCGCTCCATATCGGAACAATCGCATGGTCAGTCGCCTCCATCGCTTTAGTCTCAACATTGATGGGTGCTTCTAAGAGACCATCCACAACCGAATTCCACAATATCCTACTTCAGATTGTCATCCTTCTTCCCCTTTCCAACCCATTTCCATTTCCATCCCCATCCCCACCTTCATTCTCATTCTCATCCCTCCCTTCCCAAAACTCCTCCCAGACCTCATCCTTGGCCTCTGGCGAAAGAAGCACCTTGAGATGCCCCTCCAACGCCTCCCAATACCATCCAGTCAGCCTTTTGGCACCCCAGAGCTTCATTCTAAACTTCTCTATAAATTTCGACACAGCTTGGAGTTCCATAGCACGACGAGTTGAGGTCGGATCGAACTGAGCATGACGAGTCGGAAAGTTTGGCCATGAGACTACTGGAAGTCCGACCGTGGTGTAGGAATTTGAGGTTTGAACGTTATGAGTCGGAGCTTGTGCACTTGATCCCATGAAAGAAGTATTGACATCGTAGGGAGGCCGACGGATGGAGAATTCTGTGAAGATGAAGCGGACGCAGAGTGATCGGAAGGCGGATTCGCGCTGTCTGAGAAGGGGAGTGAGGGGGAGGTTGGAGTCGTGCTTGTGGAGGGGGACTTCGGAGGCTGTGGTCGAATGTTTAGATGGCTCTGGACGTGGTTTGTTGGTAGTCATATTTCTGATCATTTGAGAACGAGGAACCGAACGATGGTCGTGGCGATGACGAGACCAAGAGGCTTGTCATGACCAAGATAATTATTATGTTGTTTGCTGCTAGAAATGGAGGCCAACTGGTCTTTGAATGCTGACACAAGACATGATCTCGCTGCCTGCACGTCGCTCGCTCGCACTTCTCGCAAAGAGGCAGGGTCAGAGTGTTTGCCCCTTTCAAGTACGAGTATGTTCTTCGCCACTCCATCAAATTGGCAAGATCCGATGTGGTGTAGGTAAGTGGCAACTTCCACACTGAACGCCATCGCTGCCACATTCGCTGACCTGTGGCGCAGTGGCTAGCATTTCGGATTCTCAGCAGGCCTCTCATGAGGCCTCAGAAGCATTCCGGAGACCGGGGGTGAGTGATGATCCATGACTTGAGCGTGATTGAAGGCAGCCTAACGCGGTGTCCAGTTCAATTCCCCGCATCGGAAGAAATATTTTTTGCCATCATGTGAAAGTTCGTGGATCCATTGTGTTCAAGCTGAGCTCAACTGTTCGGGCTAATTTAGTTTTTGTTTGCGGAGGTGAAGGTTGACCGGGGAACTCGGGATTGCTCAGTCACTCGTCAATCGACCCAATTCCTTACTATCGTCCGGCGTCAAACAGTGTATATGTTCTTCTGTTTTTTCTATTGCAGAAGACTTCTTTTCAATATCTTCTCTTCTCATTCCAAACACTTTCATAGCTCGGGGGTGCCGCTCTTTGGTCATCCTCAGGCAGAGTCTCTAGGCTAGGTCGAGTCTCGCTCCTAGCTGGTGAAGGAAATCTCAGCGCCGTATTGATAGCCGTGCTAGCGACTGAGGCATCATCGCTGACTGGTGATCGAGGGTCTTCCAGCTCCTGGCGACCGCGCTGGACCGTCTTTTCCGGAAGCTCAGGCAGCGTCTCTTCTTTGACAGGAATCTCGTCTCTTGGATGATCTTCTTGCGATCTAGCCTGCTCGAGCTGAGATGGCTCCGTCTCTGGTTGCTGTTCGACTCTCCGACTGAAGCAACAGCATGGCCAGCAGCAGGGGATGTTCACAAATGGTGGTCCTTTCTTCATGACTGCGATTAAAACAGGTATGTCGCCCAGAACTTGGATCTTGCGGAGGTGTGCTACTCTTCAGAGCCTCGTGGTAAGGTCAATTGTCGGCCAAGCGATCTAGGAACGAGGGAGATCAAGATGTGTTATGTTGCTGCCTGAGCTGGGGTGTTCAGCTCATCTCACGATGTGCTGTGCCGCCAACCGAACTCTAATTGCTGTAGCACTACGTAGCCCTCGAGGGAGGCGAATTTAATACCGCATGCCCCCACGTTCCTAAACAGGATGTTTGTTTACTTCTCGGTATATATATATATATCTTCCTGTCGCGTTCTTCCTCTTTCTTATATTAACCTCGCTATCGCTACCGTAAGTACTGTCCCTCCCTATTTATCGCTAATTTTAACGCGTAGGACGATATATATCGCGTAGACGCGGTATATATATTTCGCGTTAGGGGTCCCTTTCCGGCATTTTAGCCGGAAATTCGACCTCGCTGTCGCCCCCCCCCCCTCTACCTCGGGATCCCGCTCCGCCCCGGGGCAAAGAATAGTAGGGGCCCCCGCTAGCCGAGACCGTCGGACGGCGGGGACCCTCCGAAGGGAGCCTACGACCGTAGGAAGGGGGGACCCGTCCGTAAGGTATACTCGAGGCGCAGGGGTACTATTCTGCGCGAGACACTGCCCCTTCCGCCGGAGGCTATTAGTATCTTTCTTTTTAAAAACGTCGCGAATAAACGTATATCAAAAATCGTCGTCTATACTCGTCCAAATTCTCGTCCAATTTCTCGTCTAATTTCTGTCTTCCTACCTCCGTATTCTGCAGTAGGTTGCCCTTCGCAACGAGCGTGGGGGTAAAAAGACCGTGCATGCGGTATTAAATACGGGCCCCCCTCGAGCGGTCGGATTGGCTGGCAGGTAATCCAGCCTCGGCATAGCGGCAACTACTTCGCAATCGCGTACGAAAGCAGGAATGGCGCTGTATCAAAATAAGTACATTCCGCTTGATGGGTATTGTAGCAATCCTTTTCTCTGCACCGTTCGACGTAAGTGGCGTGCCAGCCAGATGCCTACCTCCCAGAAATGCTCAAACGCCAGGGCTATGCAAAAGAAGAAGTAAAGATTCCATGTAGGCGACTATCGACCATCCTCAACGGACTGCAAATGACGCTTGAAACGCTCGGCCTTGGCCTTAAGAAGCCGCACAGAATCAATGAAAAGCTCGTCGCTGTCGAATTGACCAGTGCTCTCAATGCTGAAGATGAAGTGATCTCGTATACGGCCAAGCTTGACCTTGTCCTTGAACTCGTCGTATCGCAAGCACTCTCTGCTGACGGTGTCCTTGTATGGGTCAATGACAACAGCCTTCTTGCTGCCGCTTTCCTTGTCGTCCTCGAGACCGATCACACCGCGAGGAAAGCACTTCTGGAATGCTTTCGCGTCTGCGCCGACGATAGGCTTGGTAATTTTGATGTCTGGAAGTAGGCGATATGAGGCTGTGGCTACAGGAGAGAACTTGGCGTGGTCCGCACCAATGCCTTTGCAGCAGTGCATTCTGACGTTGATTGTCTGACCAGGTCGCAGCTTTGCGATCAATATGTTCGGATTGACTGGGCGGATGGCATTCTCGCCTCCAAAGTACTCCCTTTGTAGCTTTCCTTGCGGCTCAAATGTCATCTGGTGTGCGTAGACATTCGAATTAACATATTTCTCGGTGGGATCTGTGCTGCCCTCCTGTGCCACCTTCTTGCCGTCAATGCCATCCTCCTCCTTATTCTTCCACCTGCACGTCACGTTCAGGGTCATGACGACAGTGTTGAAGTCTGAGTTGACGGATGACGAAGTGTCACCCGACTCTTCTTGCTCCTGCTCCCACAGTGCTCGAGCTGCGTAGTCGGACTGAGGTGGAGGCTTCTTGAACCAGTGCATCCACCGCAGACCATCTTTGCCACCAGTGAGAGGAATCAAGCCAAGTCGGTGTGCGAGCACTTCGTCCTGGATGATGCTGGTGTTGTCGAAGATGAAGACATCCTCGATGGCGAGCGTGGGCAGTTCGGCGAGCAGTATTCGTCGATATGCATTCGCTATGCTGGCGTCTACGCCAATGAGGGAGAAGGCCGAGTTGAATTGTTCGTTCTGACGGAACTCGACTTGGAGATTATTTCTGAAGCGCTCGAGGTTCCATGTGTCGTCTTGCGCGGGGCCATAATGACCAGGAATATCGGTCGAGGCGGTATTGGTGACAGTCTCAGGGTTGATGTTGACGATGCGACGCTGCTCCAGCTGTTCTGCGGTCAGTGGCGCCCACGAAGGCATTTTGGCGGATGTCGATTGCTTGTCGCATACTGTTCACGTTCAAGCTTGAATTTATTCTGGGCCCTGGCTCACAGACAAAAGTTGACAGGCATGTTCGGCAGCGCAGCCGAGAGCTTTGCGGTCCGAGGCTCCCTCCCGATCCGTCTTCTCGTCATTGAATGTGCTGCTCTACCCATTGGCCATCCAGAATACCACCATCTTCACTCTGTGCTCTCCGCTCCCCGCTCTCCGCTCTACTGCCAATCTGCCATGCCGACAGTCACAATGGCAGCATCTCTCGCCCGACTGGCTGCCAATGGCGGCAGAAGAGCGGTGTTCCACCCCTCCCAGCGAACAGCGACCTCCCTTCGCGCCCTCTCGACAACGCCGGCAACTCGATATGCCACCCACTCAGAAACAGCGCCGCAGCCCCCAAACCCAATCCGACAGGCAGGAGAAGTACGGAGTCCGCAGTCGACGCGATTGATACCCGTGGATCCGTCCTTTGGCCACCCAGTCGACCCGTCAAAGATGAACTTCATCCAGCCAGATGAGGCAGCAAAGACTCCCGAAGAACGAAAGATCCGCCACTACACTGTCAACTTTGGCCCACAGCATCCAGCAGCTCACGGTGTGCTGAGATTAATCCTTGAGCTCAATGGAGAGGAGATTGTGCGCGCAGACCCCCATGTCGGTCTGCTGCACAGAGGAACCGAGAAGTTGATTGAGTACAAGACATATATGCAGGCTCTGCCATACTTCGACCGATTGGACTATGTCTCTATGATGACCAACGAGCAATGCTTCTCGTTGGCTGTGGAGAAATTATTGAACATCGAAATTCCCGAGCGAGCAAAGTGGATTCGAACAATGTTTGCAGAAATCACACGAATCTTGAACCATCTCATGTCGGTCCTCTCCCACGCTATGGATGTTGGTGCTCTGACGCCTTTCTTGTGGGGTTTCGAGGAGCGTGAGAAGCTTATGGTGAGGATCAATGCCTGTTTCGCCACACTTGCTATACTAACATTGCGTCCAGGAATTCTACGAACGTGTCTCTGGCGCCCGTCTCCACGCAGCCTATGTCCGACCAGGTGGTGTCTCCCAAGATATACCAGTCGGCCTCCTCGACGACATTTACCAGTGGGCCACTCAATTCGGAGACCGCATCGATGAGACCGAGGAAATGCTTACTGATAATCGTATTTGGATCGGAAGAACCAAGGGTATTGGTGTCGTCCCAGCCGCTGACGCTCTGAACATGTCCTTCTCCGGTGTTATGCTTCGAGGTTCTGGTATCCCATGGGATGTACGAAAGTCGCAGCCATACGACGCATACGACCAAGTTGAGTTCGATGTTCCAGTTGGCGTTAACGGTGACTGCTATGACCGATACCTTTGCCGAATGGAGGAGTTCAGACAATCACTACGCATCATCCACCAATGCTTGAACAAGATGCCAGCTGGCCCAGTCAAGTTTGAGGACTACAAGATCTCACCGCCGCCACGAGCTGCCATGAAGGAGAACATGGAAGCACTTATTCATCACTTCCTGCTCTTCAGCAAGGGATACACAGTCCCACCAGGCGAAACCTACTCTGCCATAGAGGCACCGAAGGGAGAGATGGGTGTCTACGTCGTGTCAGACGGAAGCGAACGACCATACCGATGCAAAATCCGAGCACCGGGCTTCGCCCATTTGTCATGCTTTGATCAAATATCAAGAGGGCACTTGCTTGCAGACGCCGTCGCTATCATTGGAACTATGGATCTCGTATTTGGTATATATCCGTCCCCCCCCCCCCCCCCCCCCTCTTCTGCCATTCACACTTGCTAACAATATCACAGGTGAGGTCGACCGATAGCGCGATTTCGAAAAGTAGGGAGGATTTGAAGCATCAGGTGTGTACATATGTTACATCATACCTCATCGGCGTTACACGGCGCATTGCGCCTAGACGCATACTTCGGCCTGGTGGCATGTAGATTCAAAGACCAAAGATTCCATTGTGTTCAAACTATTCGACTTCTTCATGCCTTCTGCACATCTCTGTGGCCTCCCCACGGGTAAGTCTCCTCAGCACCAGGCGTCGCCATCGAACACCCGTCCTCATTCTCAGTATTCACTGAACTAGAATCACTAGTCAAAGACGGCATCTCAGACGCAGCACCGAAACGACCATCCTTAAAAGCGTCGGGCCTGTAAGACTTGTAGTCGTTGCCTGCGAACGGGAGGTATTTCGATAGTTTTTGATAGAAAGAATGTTCGGAGAAGCCCGCAGACGTTTCAGAAGATTCAGAAAGCTTGGCGTTGAAAGACCACTTTGCCTTGACTTTTTCGAATTTCTTAGAGAGAATTTTATGGTCGTTAAACTCATAGAGTTTTCGATCCGATTCGGAAGTCGACCATTCTGGAACGTCCTCGGTTTCGAGGTTGTTGTATGTTTGACCGTGAGTGATGGCTGGAGATGATACATGTCCCGGTCTAGCAAGGAGATTCTTCTCTTCTTCGAAAATCTCAGAGAGAATGATATGGTCGTTAAAGTTGTAGAGTTTTCGAACCGACTCGGAAGTCGCCCATTCGGGAAAGTCCTCGCTTGGGGGTTTGTCGTACGTGTGACCGTGAGTGTTGATTGGAGATGATACACGGTTTTGCCCTGAAATGTATTCGGCGCGACTGTGATAGATCTTTTCTTCCGCTCCAGATTGGAGGTTGTAGTACATTCGACTGTGTGTGTCGGCGAAAATTGCGTAGTCGGGTGTGGTTGAAATTGAGAGAGCTTCGTTGTTGATGTCCTCTTGAACACCACCAGAGACACCATCGAAGTACTTAGTGACCTCCTCATAAGGTGGAGGAAGGATTGCGACAGAAGAGTCAACTCTTGACAGTGGAGCTGGGCATGCTGATTGGGCTTGGAATTTCCACCATGCGACAGCGGCGCCGCTGGTAGTGGTGTAGTCGAACATTTTAGTTCGCCTGGCACCTTTTGGTATGGTTGTTGAAAGTTGCCTGATTGTAGCTGGATTCTTCTTGACAGTGGCTTGGCTTCTCCTTGGGTTCTTTGAAAGAGAAAGAGTACAATCACAGGGTAACTCTTATACTACTTCGATCAGAGAACCGACCCATCTTGTCCTCATCCCATTCCTATCCCGAAACTCCAAAAGTGCGGTATGGAGGAACATTTCTGAGGACCATGAGGACCGTGAGGACACAGAGCTTATTCACCAGTAGCTGGTCAAAATTCTGTCAGCAGCACATGGAGCGATCGATGAATTGTGAAATGGAGGAATATGATCGTGGTAGGCGAGCTGGACCTGGAAGAGGGTGTATGTCGGCGGAGACAGCAAAATGTTTGCCTTTTGAGAAAACAGCGTCGTGTTTGTCAACGATCGATGCCAAGATTTGAAGAAACACATGAAAATCCTTGGCCTATCATTCAAAGGTCAAAATCAGCTTGGCCCACGAATGGCATTTTGGTAATCAGCCTTACCAGTGATTAGCCAGTAGCGAGTTTGCTCTTGAGATGCCATCGCGATAATCTGCGAATAAAGTCTTGGATTTTTCTCTCGCTCAATGCCGTCGCCATGATGGCAGTGTTTTGGTTGGAATTTAGAACGTCTTGCCGATGGGCCTGTGTGTAGTGATTGAGACCGATTTCGTCGACCTGCTATAGACTGACTACCCGCTACATATGGCACATCATTCTAGCATGTCTTTGGTCCCAACGTTTCTCCATCAGCTACTTTTGTGCGAATCGCAGTTCCCAGGGCATCCATTTTCTCGAATACTTGGACATTGCCCTACCACTGCGGCACTGTAACGTTAGAGAGCGTGATCGCCAGGAAAATAACAATCGTCGCGATCAAATGACCACAACCCAGGGCTGCCGCAGTAAGGTAGTTGTAGTAAGTCCACCATCCGTGGAAGCGTCTCCTGATCCAGTAGTCGAGAATCAACCCGACAACCGCCCATGAGGAGAACGATAGTGGTGTAGCAGGTGGCAGCCAGCCAAGAGCACCTAACATAACAGGCGCGTGAATCCACCGTATCTTCTTAGATGGCCAGACTCTCAAAATCACTCAGAACGCGATCGGTAGCAAAGCACCCACCAGCCAGACAAAATTGAAGGTGTGGTAGATGCCACCAGCTCCAAACACGCGCTTTGGGCCAATGAGTCCCTAGACGATACTGCAGGAGAAGAAGAATGTGCGCCCATTTGGGCAGGTAAAGTGGCCCTTCCGATCGGAGGTGCAAACGATATCGATTGCGCCTAAAGTCCAGTTCATCGTTGCTACCTGTAAGAACGCCGCCCGGATGATGGCAGCGACTTGGCACGTGAAAGTGGTCTGTGGCGGCACCTGGCGCTTGTCAGTTTCAGGTGAAGTGAGGTGAAGCTCAAATCGGTCACCGGTGTTCGCTTGACACTGACAGGGGAGGGGAGGGCTCGGCTCGGTCCATTTTGGGTTGCCGACTGCCGCTGACAAGACAGTTGCTCCCGGATCTTGACTTCTGCACAGCGCCACACCATCCAACCGTTTTAAGCGAAGTTCAACACGATGAAGAAGTCGTTGTCTGCGCGCCGAGTGCCGCGCAAAGTGGGAGGAGACGACGAAGAGGATGTGCCGGCGGCGCAACCAGGTACGTGCTTTCTTCGCATTTCGACCAGAGCAGCTCTGACACACTGTCCCAGCTCGCGACAATCGCTGACGGCGAACGTGACTCCAGATTCTGCAGTAAAACGACCAAACTCGAAACCGCGCAAGCCCTCATCTCTCCGACAGTCCTTTGGACCTTCAGCAGTGGACGATGGCGAGGACAGTGAAGCTGTAGTAACGCCGAAGCGCAAGGACCTTTCGCGAATAGCAGTCCACAAGACTGTTGCGAAAAGATCTTCGCTGCTAGCAACAACCCTTCCACGCCGAGAAGCAGAGTACGAAGACGAGCGCCCAAGCTACAGCGCCGCTTCTCTACAGCAATTAAAGGATAGCACACCTTCCACTCCGCAGAATTTCAGCTCGGCCACCAGCACAGATGTCGAGGATGTTTCGCAAGTTACCCAGTCTCTGGATCTGTCGTCTAAGTTTGGATCCTCGCTTGCGCGATATCAGCAGTCCTTTGCTTCTTCTGCAATACCTTCTGCGACCGAGATTGCCGAGAAGAAGGCGCGGCGAGCACGTCTGGCGAAGGAACAGCAGGCGGAAGAATATGTTTCCTTGGACCCGGATGACCCCGATCTAGACGAAGAAGACCTGGACCCAAATGTAATGCGAGATGAGCACGGAAAGCTCGTACTCAAGCCGAAAGACAAGTATGGCTTATCGGAGACAAGACTCGTCCGCGATGACGAAGACATCATGGAGAACTTCGACGAATTCACGGAAGATGGCCGCATATCACTGGGTCGCAAAGCAGAGGCCGAGGCCGAGCGGCAGAGACGAAAAGACATGGCAGCGCAAATCGCCGAGGCTGAGGGCGCCACGGATGACGAGTCGGACGATAGTGAGCGAGAGCGTAGAGACGCATATGAAGCAACGCAGACGAAGCATGGCTCATATGCGCGAAACACAGCAGATTCAGAAGGAGCTGACCAAAGACCGAAGACGCCGCCTATCATTACACCCTTGCCGACCCTTGATGGAGCTATAGACCGCTTGAGGAAGCAGCTTTCCGACATGCGGACGTCACGCATGCAAAAGCTACAAGAAATGGAAAATCTTCAACGTGAAAAGATCAGACTAGCTGAAGAAGAGGTGCGAATTCAACGGGCATTGAAAGAGACGGCAGAAAAATTCGAGCAGCTGTGAAAGGAGAAGGGCGTCAGCACTGGTAAGGGAACGGTGCCAGCGATTGAAGCGCCTCTTGCACTCAGGGCCAACGGAGAGAGTGCAGCAGAGATGCCGAAAGATCAAGACATGGACGAACCAGATGAAGAGGAGCCCGAACGGCCTTCTATCGGTGGCTCGGGCTTTGGCGCTGGACTGGGCTTCAATTCGGGGAGTTCGGGTCTCGGTGCCAACGCGAATGGGGCTTGTAATGAAGAGGAAGAGGAAGAGGAAGACTCAAGACCTGCCTTTGGCGGGCTCGGGTTCGGTGGCACAAGAGCCCACATGGCAGGATTTGGACTCGGGTTGAACAAAGCTTCCGACGATAATGAAGACGAAGGCGCCATCTGAGATATTTTGGGCGCACTATTCGATTTCCACCTGATGATATCCCTTCTCAAAAAGAAGTGCAATGAGCTGGTTTGAAGAGATCTATGAGCTGCCATGTTACAACACGGCACGCAAATCATTTCGATGAAGCTTCACAGTGGATCGTGGTGACCTCTGGCTCTAGACCATGGACTGCTTATGCAGCAGCTGTAGCGGCTTTTCGTTGGACTTACCGTGCACAATTCTCGAGATCAGAACTGTGGCTAGCTGTAAGCCTGAGCAGACAAAAGCGAATGGGACATGCAGGTGCGCTCCGCGTGGGTCTCCAGACGCAGCCAGTAGTATAGTCAGAGACATTAGCTGTCACGAGATCCATGTTTGACGTAACTGGCACTGCGATATAATGTAGTGCCATCTCAGTGCAACTTATTGAACCATGTTGCTTGAGTGATGTAGTCGTATCAGCAGCCGGCTGTGGTATTTACAGAGTCGAAATTCCCTTGCTGCTCTTTCGAATTGCCATGTTCATGTCTAATCATCGTGATATCTTTTTTATGAACTCAACCCCGCTGTTTGTTGCAAGTCCGGTAATGATGATTCCTCGCAAGGAGCTTCTATCTTCATACGCGCTTTGTCTTCGCTCGTTAGGCTTTGCCAGCAACGCTGTGTTCCATGTCCTTCGTTGCAAATGAGTTTCATTTGGCCATAGCTCATGTGGTAGATGGCTGAATTTGCGAGGTCGACACGCACGATGAGGCAGCGTCGCAGCGACACAAAACGTCGATTGCGTCCTATTCTCTATTCTGCGGATTCGTTTCGATGTCCCTCGTGCTTTGTAGGGTGCTCGCTGCGTGGCGCTATCTCGAGTATATGCCTGCATGGAAGGTGGCTAGGAGATATCAGCATCAGCAGATATGGCCGACAGCATATAAAAATTCCGGAAAAAGAAAGTGCATAAACAGAGTAATGCAGAAGCTCAGATCATGGCTGTCCGAAGCCGCGATCGACTCAGTTTCACACCACCAGACTATCAAGTTTTCATCTCGCCCTCGCCCACGCCAGCGCCGACGGCAATGTTGCGCCTCCGCCAAATTTTTTTCTAAGTCTGCGAAACGTCGATGGAGCCTCTTAAAAAGAGTCCGAGAGTGTTTTTACTCCGTCTGAAATGCTGTTGCGTTGGCGCTATGCATATGGATATTGGTGTAGGACGGCGGTGAGGGGGGCCCAGCAGAATTTTCAGTCTGCACACACAGATGACTCGGATACTGCTGAACGACTAGATTTGGCTGTATGAGGCTCGTTGGCGATAATGAGAGTGCTGTCGAGAGCATGGTGCTGCGACATGTTGTTCCGGAGATGAGAGATGAAGACATGAAGTCGAGAAGGGGTCGCGCGGCCCCTCTTTTTCTCTGGCAGCAGTGTCAGCTGCTTCGCCTGCATAGGGACAGATTTGCCTCATGCACATATATCCAACTCCAGTCACTCAATCATTTCAATACTCGGTCTTTTGAAGCCGTAGACACGTTCGTCTACTTGCCGCGGGCGCTCACGACGATTTTCGCGACCTGACAGAGTCAGAAGATACCAATCTCGGCACGATGCTTTGCTGAGCCGCCTCCCTCGAGAATCCACGCAGTTCAAAGCCATATATCACACATTGGCGGCGGCTATGGTGACAAGAACCACGTTACATACACTCTGCCGATTGTGTGGGTGATATATTTGGCGATATGGCAGCTGCTGCTGTGCATACTGGTCATATGGCGCAGATGGCCCCCGGAGCTGGGGTGCTGGGGAAAGATATCAGTACCACAAAGTCAACTGTAGTCGACGAAGACGATTCAAGCTTATCTTCATCTGGGACTGAGATATTTGATCGGAAATCGTCTGGGTCGACTCAAAAGGATCAATGGCAGCTTGATGCCAATGGCAAATGGCGGCGATATGGGTCCTCAGACTCGGCACCCAGTACTGGGATATCTTCGATATGTTCGTCTGTCGCTGCTGAAGATCCACCTGCCGACCGTTCAAGCAAAACGTCTCCGTCCAGGAAAAGAATGAGCGATGGGACTTTGAAAAGTTCATCTCGAGACGCTCCTGCCTCCGAGCCTGTACCAATCATCTCGACAGGGCTTGCACAAACTGCTTCCATCCAACCTCAAATGGAGGCACCACCGAAGAAGAAGCGCGGAAGACCACCAAAAGTAAGGCCGCCTGTCCCGGAAAATGATTCATCGCCAAAGCCTGGACCAAAGCCCTCACCAAAGACTCTGCGAGCACCTAGGTTAGCAAAACCTGACATTCCCATTCGGCCACGGTTTTCCATCCCATCTCGCCTACCTGCAGAAGAATTTGCTACGCAATGCATCGACGCAGCACATTCTTCTAGACTGGACCCATACGCTCTACATGTGGGCGAGAACAGGCTGCTTCGCGACTTGTTGATGACAAAGGAGGTAACAGTCTACCTCAACATCCGCAACGCAATCCTCAGACTCTGGCATGCGAATCCTCTCGTCAGTGTCACGCCTGAAGAGGCATCTGGATGTGCTAAAGAAAGTCGATTCTTCGGTCTGGCCGAGGTCGCGTATAAATGGCTTACACGGAATGGCTATATCAATTTCGGATGCGTCCAACCTCCGAAGGCTCACACTCTACCCAAGCGCTATCCGAAGGAAGCGAGGCAACGTACGGTAGTCGTGATCGGTGCGGGTGTTTCGGGCTTGACGACTGCACGACAACTGGAAAGCTTGTTCATACAAGAGGCAGCGAAATGGATTGGCATGGGCGAGCGACCACCCCGAGTAATAGTGCTTGAGGGGAGAAGACGCATTGGCGGTCGTGTATACTCGAAGCCTTTGAGAAGTCAAGTCACAGGAAGTCTACCAAATCAGCTACGAAATACGGCTGAAATGGGCGCTATGATAGTGACTGGTTTCGAGCACGGCAATCCCCTCGACACGATCATACGCGGCCAACTAGGTCTTCGGTATCACCTTATGAAGGATGCACTGACGATATACGACTGCGATGGTCGGCCGGTGCAGGAAGAGCGAGACACACTGAACACTGAATTGTACACGGACATCTCAGATCGGGCGGGAGATTACCGCGCAGAGCCACAAAAGCAAGACACCTTACGAGGCGATGAAGATCTTATCAACCGATGCCGTGATCCGGCTCCCGACGGGTTTGCTGCTTTCCAGCTCGAGCCGATACCCAGTGCGCACCTCAAGCCGCACATTCCAGCAGCCAGAAGAGGGAGAAGACGAAATGCACCGCCAGGCACCGAAAAGCTCACGGGCCGTAGTCAGGTCATCGAGGGCGAAAGTGCTACCGTGAGTGCTTCGCGTGCAGCCAAGAACATGGGCTGGGAAGTCAGACCAGGCGTCGCTCGAAATCAGAGCATCTCACTGAACAAGATCGCGAATGCTGGTGACTACCCCACACTCGGCACAGTCATGGACGAAGCCATTATACAATATAAGGACTTGATCGACCTCACGCCGCTTGACATGAGACTTCTCAATTGGCATCATGCAAATCTAGAATATGCAAACGCTGCGCCAGTCTCATCGTTGAGTCTCAGTGGCCACGATCAGGACACTGGCAATGAATTCGAAGGAGCGCACTCAGAAGTCGTCGGTGGTTACACACAGGTGCCTCGAGGTCTTATGAATTTGCCCACGAAGCTCGACGTGCGGTTCGGTCGGATCGTGGACAGCATTCATTACGATGATGGCAATGGCCATGATGAGCCTATTGCTACGAAAGTGGTGTGCACTAACGGCGAGATTTACGAAGCAGATGAAGTTGTGATGACGGCCCCTCTCGGTGTACTGAAGTCAGGTGCGATTGATTTTGATCCGCCGCTGCCAGGCTGGAAGTTCGGGGCGATTGATCGCTTGGGCTTCGGTCTGCTAAACAAGGTATGTCTCGTCGAAGCAGCGAGTTAGATGCTTGCTGACATTTGTGACAGGTCGTTCTCCTCTACGACAAGCCATTCTGGGACGATGATCGCGACATGTTCGGCTTGCTCAATGATCCCGAGACTCACGGCAGTCTTGACCCATCAGACTACGCCAGAAAGAGAGGGCGCTTTTACTTGATATGGAATGCGTCCAAGATCAGCGGACGGCCAATGCTTATCGCTCTCATGGCAGGAAATGCGGCACACGAAGCAGAATGGGCGGACACCAGTACACTCATGAATGAGGTTACCGACAGACTACGTGGCATTTTCCCCTCGGTCCAGGTTCCAGCACCGCTTGAGGTGATTGTCACCAGATGGAGAAGAGATCCATTTACAAGAGGCACATACTCCTATGTGGCACCGGAGACAAGACCTGGTGACTACGACCTAATGGCGCGTTCTGTGGGCAACCTGCATTTTGGCGGTGAAGCGACGTGCGGCACGCACCCGGCAACTGTACACGGCGCTTTCTTGTCTGGTTTGCGCGTAGCTGCCGATGTCATTGATGATATGGCAGGGCTCATCACAGTTCCCGAACCTCTAGTTGGACCTGGGCCTATCAAGCAAGACTTCTCAGCAAGCTACGGAGCGCATTTGCACCCCCCGTTCGCGCAAGCCGGTGTGCTCACCACCACTGAAGTGCTTCCTGTAGCCTTGGACGCAGCACCCGCACAACCATTCATCAAACAAGAAGAAGGTGCTACCGAAGTGCCCACGTTGCCGATGATACCTGCTCATGCCCCACCGCCATTGCAGAAGAAGCCCTCTGGTCCACCAGCCAAGAGCGTGTGCGCAGGTGACGCGTCTTTCTGGGTTTCTGCTAATTTCGATGGTTCCGACCTAGATTACGAAGCAGCTATCATGGCGACGATTCTCGGTCAGCTCGGCGAACGTCCCGTGAAGCCCACTCGGCCCGGAGTGAATCCCTTTTTACTGTTCACGAAGGAGAAATGGGACGAGTGCAAGGATTTCGTCACCAAGGAAAATAAGGCTGCCGGCCGCAACGTAATTCGTCAGACCATAGGCAAGTGGTGGCAGGGAGCAGACGATGAAGCAAAACAACCATACTTGGCGCAGAGCCAGCTGGCCCAAGAGCAGGCAGATTCGCTGCGTCGCGATTGGGAGATGAATGTGGCAAAGTGGGACCAAGAAGCAACGAGGTTGAGGAAGGAGTACATGGAGGCGCACCCTCGGCCGCAAGGCAGTACAGGTGGTGAGAAGGTGGGTGTCAGCAAGAGAAAGACAAATGTGAGCAACAATATTGTGCTGGACCATACGATATGATCCGACGGCGCCGATGGGCATTGACATATTTTGGCGGCCTGGGATCTACGGCATGGTTATGGGGATAATCGATATGTGGTGCTTGATAGGTATGCATAGCGTTGACATGGCTCTGGAGAGGAGAAGTAAATCCTTGAAGACGCCGCTGCGTTCTGTTCCGCCCAGACCCACTTGCAAGACAGTCAAAGCCAGTACTAGTAGTCTATGAGTCTATGAGCCGCGCTCGAGAATGGAAGCAGTCTACCCTGCCAACCTTGCTGAATCAGTCTTGACTTGTGACCTCTACCGAGTGGTGCAGATGGTATGTAATAATGCGAAGTCTCATGGCAACTGTGCTGCCTACCACGCACGTCAAGTAAGTGAATCGGCACGAATGCTACCGGTATGCCGTTGCCACATTGTCCTCGTAGCGACGTGAAACGGAGGATGGAAGCGGCTCTGTTTGCCGCTGTCCGCTCGTGCATGACAGTATCTCGCGCTTCTTTTCGTTCATCGACGTCTGCATCTTCAACTCGTTGGCTCGGAAGAATGCACCCCGGCGTCTGGGGATGTACATATGTACCTCTCCATGCTAACGACGGGCCCTGCAGGACAGCTCTGCAAGTAGCTCACGGTCGGCAATTGTCGGGTGCTGTGGTTGGCCTTCTCAAGATATGCTTCGCAGGCATGTGCGCATGGACATTGGACAGTCCGGCCTGGGCTTGTCGTTGCGAGGACCTGATCGGGCAGGACGAGAGTTGTGTTACGCCAACAGCGCGTAGCCTAGCAAAGTCAGCAGCGCGATGGTGGTGCGACGCCGGTATTGCTGCTGCTGCTGCTGCTGCCGATGCTGATGCCTCTGTCTGGCCGTGGGCGTTTGTCGCCAGCGCAGGTGTAGGTGTTGGTGTTGCCGGAGACATACACAGAATAATCCGAAATCCGGCGATCTCCACACAGAGAGACATGGATGCGCCACGAGACTCGACATTAGCCTGGCACGTGGTTTTGACAGTAGTAGTACCCGAAGCCAAAGGGCTGGAAAGGACAGCGTAGGTGTGATTGATCGAATCTCGTGCGCCTCGTTCGCAGGTAGCTTTGTATAGAATAATATCTCAGGAGGGCCGGGACCAGGACCAGCCCACCCATTGCCTCCTCCACTTCGCGACCCTGCAACATATGCGCATCCTATCAGTATCGTTGCCGGCTGCGGCTGTCCTGCCATTGACGATCCATACCGCGCATCGCTTCCGCCCGCGTGTGCCCGCTACTCCATACTGACACGCCTCTGCGACCCCGACATTCTCCACCGATTCCTTCATGCCTGGGGCGCGCCTCGCTAGCGTAGTCTACGCCGCTTTCTAGGTCTGAATGAGAAAAAGCCCCGCGAGAGACGAGACCGACCACCTGCAGTCACCAATGACCCGCCGCGCAACCGCTTCGGCCTGACAGAGAGCGCGCACTCCACGGCGTTAGTAGGATAGGCGAGCCGGTGCTACAGCCTCTAATCCATCTGGCCACCAGACCCAGAGGCTCCCGTAGCCGTAGCCACATTGTTGCAGTATTATTGTACCGTGCAAGACGGACATGACCGCTACGTCGTCATACTGTGAACGACAACGACCATTGCCATTATTGTCGCCCTCACCACCCCACCATCCTCTGACCCACCCTACTCTGGCACTAGCACACGTTACTGCCCACCGCCCACCCGCCGCGTCGAACACGAATTGCAGCTCTCACTCTCAGCATCCTTCCCGCGCACTGCAGTAGGCCGACTGGCTCGGACAAACCAAACCCGATGCTGGGAAAGAGGTGGACGAGCGCCCGCGAAGGATCAGGTTTCGTCACCAGATCGAGATAGCAGCACGAGAGCACGAAGCCTCAGGCGCACAACTGTGCGTTGCGAGAGAGGTGGCCAGGCTGCGAAACAGGCAGAATTCTAGCGCAGGCGGCGCAGCGTGGAGGAGATAGACGACAGACACGCTCGATCGTTGACGGTCTGTGGAGACGTCCCAATCCGACAAGATGTCCTTCTTTGGCAAATTTAAGACAAGCTCGGTAGGTGCTATCCAAAATGGAGCCTGGATATGGGTATGTAGCGACAGGCGCGTTGCGACTTCGGCTGACAGCGCATCGTGCAGAACGACGCCTCGAAGCAAGCCAACTCGACACCTGCGAAGAAAGATTCCAATGCGCCGCAATTGACGCCGCTAGAAAAGCATCTTGTCGATGTGACCGGACCGACCAAGCCAGATGGTAGTGATAAGTACTTTGGCTTTGAAAATGTGAGCTGCAATCATACGCATATATCGAATGCGGGACATACATGCTGACCATGACGACAGTACGGCTCTACATGGTATGCCTCTTCCCGCTGAACAAATGAGCAAACATCCGTGCGCATTTGTAAGATGCAAGCCACTGACAAAGACACCACAGCTATTGCAATTCCATAATACAGTGTCTCTACTACTCAGCACCTTTTCGCGAACATGTCATTAATTTCCCCTCCCCTGCATTTGTTGCACAGATACGCGCGAGTGAACCCAATGGCGCACCGCTATCACCGCGATCGACTTCCACAACACCTTACCCCAATCCGAACTCGCCCGCGCGCAAACAAAACGCACCGACATCACCGGGGCCTGGAGGCGCGCAGAAGCCTGAGGAGAGCAAAGACTCGCCTGAGTTCAGAAAGAAGATGGCATTGGCGGCAGGCCCTGTGCTTGACATGACCTCTGACAATTCGAACAAATATGGCATGGACGAATCGCTATTCACTTCATTGCGAGACATCTTTGACTCCATTGTCGGACATCAATCACGAATCGGTGTTGTCAGCCCGCACAGGTTTCTGGAGATTCTTAGAAGGGAGAATGAGATGTTCCGATCGGCCATGCATCAGGACGCTCATGAGTTCCTGAACCTGCTACTGAATCAGGTGGTCGACAATGTTGAGATGTTCGCCAAGCAACATCCAGAAATTGTTGAGGCGGCAAGTGCGAATGGACATGCGCCCGAGGAAGGAGCATTGGTCAAAGCACAATCGAAAGCGACACTCGACACACATTGGGTTCACGATCTCTTCGAAGGACTTCTCACATCAGAAACGCGATGCTTGACGTGCGAGAACACCTCGCAAAGAGACGAGGCTTTCCTGGACCTCTCTGTCGATCTCGATGCACACACATCGGTCACATCGTGCTTACGGAAATTCTCGGAAGAAGAAATGCTTTGCGAGAGGAATAAATTCCATTGTGATAACTGTGGGGGGCTGCAAGAAGCTGAAAAGAGGATGAAGATCAAACGATTACCACGAATCCTGGCTTTGCATTTGAAACGATTCAAGTACACCGAGGATCTCCAAAGGTTACAAAAGCTCTTTCACAGGGTTGTGTATCCCTTCTACCTGCGACTCTTCAATACAACCGATGACGCCGAGGATCCAGATCGACTGTACGAGCTCTATTCGGTGGTTGTACATATTGGCGGTGGGCCGTATCATGGACACTACGTCAGCATTATAAAGACTCAAGACAAGGGCTGGTTGCTATTCGACGATGAGCTTGTTGAACCTGTCAGTAAGAACTATGTTCAGCAGTTCTTCGGTGGCGACCCTGTACCTGGTGTCCAGGACGCGAAGCAGTTGGCCACGGCATACGTGCTATTCTATCAAGAAACCACGATGGAAGCCATGTTGAATGAACAAGAAGCAGAGGCCGGACAGAAGGTGCAGGCTGCGACGAGAGTTTCGGAGGGCGATGACAGCCGAACAAGCCTGAACTCTCCGGTAAAGGTGAATGGAAACGGGCTACATAACACCATCACAAATCTCCAGACACCGATCGTGGAAGAAGTTGATGAGCTCATGGGTCCGTTGAAACACGCCAACACAGCGCCCATCATTGGCTCCATACATCAACGCACGCATTTCGAACCTCCAGTGCCTCCAACGCCGAAGCTCCCGAGCAAGAGCAAAAAGGAGCTCAAAGCAGAAGAGAAAGCGGCAGAAAAGGCGCGCAAAGCAGCCGAAAAAGCAGAACAAAAAGCCAGGGAAGAGAGATACCACGAAGCAAGTCGAAAACGCATGGAAGTGTACAGGAACGCAGAAGAAGAAATGCGAAAAGTCATGGAAGAGTCAAAGCGCACTGCAGAAGCCGAAGCCGAAGCTCGAGGCGAACCCAAGAAATCCGACAAGGGAGGCCTCTCACGATTCAGACATGGCAGCATGAGCCTGAGCATGAAGGCGAAGCCCAAGATTTTCGGTGGTTCGGGATCTTCGTCTTCGAAGCAGAAAGATTCTGTGGAAGGGGCGCGACAACCTATCCTTTCTTCCCCTCCTCTTCCTCCACCTCCTCCTCCTGTTCCGGAGTCGAATGGGATTAAGGAGGAAGATGAAAAGGAAGAGAATGATGCTGAGGCCGTTATGGATTCTTCCGAACCCAGTGTGGGCGATCCAAAAGAAAGGGAGAAGGAGGCGAGAACAACGGTTCTTTCTCGTAGAGGCACGGGGTACGATACTCCCCCTGATGCTCCTACTGCTTTACCGCCTATTCCGCATCTGCCGGGGGAGAAGGTTAAGAAGCATAGGTTTTCTCTTGGAAGGAAGAAGAGTACGTTGATATGAGTCGCGGCTTCTTCGTTGTGCCTGAGATGAGTTGAGTTGAGATTCTTGTACATGTTGCCGAAAAAGATGCATGCATATGGGAGGGAATGGATGTGTGTGTTGTGTGCATTTCAAATGTGCATAGAATGGCGTTGAGATGCAGAAGTGAAGGTCGCAGCGCGCATGTGATTGGGATGATGGCAAGCTTCCTTCTCCGTTAATGAAGACTTTTCTCTCGGGAGGATTGGCGAGAAGCGAGGAAAGCTTGCGTTGTGGGATTGCTTGGCTTTCTAGTATTTTGAAGCTGGATGGCTATGGCATGGCATGGGCTGGAGCCGCAGTGGACCATAAATCTATGATGTGCACTGTGCTGCTCTGATCCTGTGTTGTTCCTCTCTCTCTCTCTCTCTACTCGTCTGGCTCGCACGGCCTCAGTGCCGCCTCACAGACAGCCACTTGCGTTTCATGACCGCCATGCCCATAGCCTGCGGGCATATTCTCCGAGCAGCGCCAATTGCGAGCCTCAAATCCTCCTCCATGCCATAACCAGACTCTGCCAATTCCCACCTCATCCCTCTCCAACAACCCATAAAAAATTCCATCCACATCTCCCTCACTCCCTCATTGCCTCCCATCTCCTCATCCAAACGCCAGCGCCCAAACAATAATCAAAACATTCAAAAAAATCAGCGGTATCCTCATCAGTGTTCGTATACTCGTGATCAAATTTATGATTTTCGACTTGATTGATTGCGAGTGCGAGTCTCCTCCGAAAGCTGGTTCCGAGGTTTGTTGGGAGGAGCTCCATCCGATTCGTGCGAGGAAGCGGTCTTCGGAGAGCACTGCGACGGCGTTGAGGAGGAGGATGGAGACTGGAGGTCATTGTTAGAATGTGGGAGGGGAGGGGAGGGAGAGGGATGCGGACTTGCCTTGGAAGAGTCCGCCGAAGGAGAAGAGGAGGGTTGCCATTTTTCTGGTCAGGTGGGAGGGGATGGTGAGGAGAGTCGCTGTTGTGGACGTTCCGATTTGGGATTTGTGAGGTCGATGGGTTATGATTCGTGCAAGTTGTCGTTCTGCTGGAATGGATCGTGGTGAGGTCGCTCGCGAAGCCCACGTTGCCGTTCAACGGCTGATCCCTGAAGGCCGCGTCGCGTTGCCTTTCTGTGCTGTGCTTTGCTTCCACATCAACAACACTTTCTTCCAAATGAACATCAATGTCCTTGTCGAGCCAATTCACTTGGAGAGCTCTGCAGATTGACTTTCAAGGAAACCGAGATCGTGGTGAGAGGAGGAGGTGGTGGAAGATGTCCAAGTCAATAGGTAGGCAGGCATTCATTATTTCAGTCACGGCGTCAGCATTATTTTGACGGCTTATAGGAGACATTGCCCTTGGATTGCTCCTGCCAACAGCAGTCCTTCTACATTTGTTCTCCGCGCCTTATACAAAGGTCGAAGAATCTTTCAACATCCAGGCTACGCATGACATCCTCGCCACGGGCGTCCCTTTCTTCAATTCGACCGCAATTCTCGCTGCCAACTACGATCATGTCGACTTTCCTGGTTCTGTGCCTAGGACGTTCGTTGGCGCTCTCGTTTTAGCCGCACTATCAAATCCATTCAAAGCATACTTTTCTTCGCCCGCCTCGCTCCAACTTCTCGTCAGAGCGATTCTCGGCCTGGGAAATTCTGCTGCTCTCCTCCATTTGAAGGGTGCAGTCGACACTGCGTACGGAAAGAACGCTGGGAGATGGTACATCTTGCTCCAGGCCAGCCAATTTCATCTCATCTTTTATGCTTCGAGGACTCTGCCGAATATGTTCGCATTTGGCTTGACAACAGTAGCTTTGAGGAACTTGATTATGGTCAAGGCTGTGGCCTGGAAGACTCAACGAAGCTCGAAGCGTAGAAGGCTTGCGCTGTACCTTCTAACGTTTGCTGGCATCGTGTTCAGGTCGGAAATTGCTATACTACTTGCGATGGACACCCTCTACCTGATTTTTCAGCAACGCATCTCCATCACCGAAGAGATTATCCCTGCTGGCGTTGCTGGTCTGATCATTGGCTTGATGACGACTGTATCCATCGACTCGTTCTTCTGGCAACGCTTTCCACTTTGGCCCGAGTTTGTCGGTTTCTACTACAATACCATACTCGGCAAGGCCTCCGAATGGGGCACAAGTCCATTCCATTTCTACTTCTTGAATGCACTACCCCGACTCCTGCTTAACCCGGTCACTTATCTGATTTGCATCCCAGAATCACTGAAAGGCCCGATAAGCAAGGACATTCTGATACCACATGTCGCATTTATCGCTCTGTACAGCTTACTGCCGCATAAAGAGTGGAGATTCATTATTTATACCATACCGGCCTTCACCGCTGTGGCTGCAGGTGGCGCCGGATGGATCTGGACGCGCAGATCTAAGTCATATCTTTATCGTGCTTACAGCATCTTGCTGGTCATCTCCACACTAGCTTCATTTTCGTCAGCTATGGCCTGTTGTACGTCTCAAGCTTGAACTATCCCGGTGGAGATGCTTTGAAAAGACTGCATCAGGACGCGCGCATGGACTACCGAGATCCTGTTCGTGTATATATGGACAATCTTTCATGCCAGACCGGCGTGACAAGGTTTCAACAACTTCAGCCAACATGGCATTACGACAAAACAGAAGATGAAAGAACACTTCTCTATCCTCTGTTCTGGCAGCAATTTGACTATGTGATGACAGAAACCCCCGAGCGCATAATTGGCGCGTGGCATCCTGTTGGGATCATTGCGAGTTTTGCAGGTGTTTCTTTGCGGCCAGAGAACGGCCACGTCTTGCTGCCTTGGCCAGGATATACAGGAGAGGGTCCGGCTTCCGAAACAGTGCAAGCTTTGCAGGATTTCTACCAGGCGTTCGCAACTCGGATCATGAGGTTTACAAAAGGTTACTGGCCAGCTGTCAAGGTGCAACCACGAATTTACCTTCTCGAGCGAGAGCCTCCGCCCGCTGAGCATGCCGACTCAGATCGCGCATAATGACTTCCTTCTTGAATCAAGATAAGCTTAGTGGCATCCAACTAGGACAGTATCATTCATCACTGAACCTCGAGCGAAGTCGTGATTTTGGTTCGAGCGGCACCAACCAAAGTATCAACATTGCTTACCTTTCCGACCCCAATTTCTGGAAGGTCGATTCTGCCAAGGCAACTCAATCGACCATGTCATGACTATCTCGAATTTGTTTCTGAGAAGAAGTACTCGAGAGCGCGGCTAGTCCTCCGCAGGATATCATCCTGGCGCGATGGTCACACATACACCTGGGCAGCACTCGGCGAAGAGACGAAAGAAATTCGAAATCAAGCTCACACCTGATTCCACCGTGCCGCAGATCCGCCTTCCAAAGTGCCAATGCTCCGGAAGACCGTTCCTGTCCCTATGCCTGACTTGCGGTCGGCGAACAGCAGTGACGGCACTGGTGAGCTCAGAACCAGAAGATGAGATATCCGACAGCGATGAAGAGTCTGTGGCCAGCGATTTGCCTGATATCATGTTATCACCAGCCACACAACGCGAAGCGGAGCAGCAACTTCCCCTGCAGAAAGTTATTTGCGAGGATACAATTCAAGCGCCCGGAACCTTCCCGTTCGAGCGACTTCCACAAGAGCTGAAGGATGCGGTATACGAACATTGCACCCTTGAGCACTTTTCACCACCAACCAAGCCGGTCCCTCCAATTTGGCAGCACACGCTTGGGAGAGGAAAATTTCCCATCTACTACCACTTGCGTCATGTCCCGTTTCCTGGTCTCCTCGGCGCGAACAAAAAGATTAGACATGATTACAAGAAGATAGCGGGACAACAAACTACGATAGTGTTCAACGACCACAATAATTTCAGATGGGCACCTCTTGAACTTTCGGGAGTACGCGCCAGACAACTTAGTGAAGTGCGGCACGCAGAGTTCAATTTCGACGGGATGTGTCGTTCTTCGCCATCTGGCTGCAAGGTCGTGAGCGATCTCGCCCATAGTCTTGCATGGATCAAGCGTACTGTCACGCAATTTTCTGGGCTGCAGACAGTCAGCATTCGACTCGGCATCTGGTGGTCCGAAAATTTACGCTACGACTACTCCTGGCCATCTTCGCCACACGATAATGCAATAACAGATGTTCTTGAGCAATTTACTGCCGTAGAGCATTTGGTCAAGATCGAGGTGTACCGCAAACCAGGACAGGATATCGATATGCATCTCACTCATGCAGAGATCGAAGCGGCCATGTGGGTAATGTGGGAGAAAGGCAGAGGGTTTTATCGTCCGTCGTTGGCACCTGGCGTGTACTGTAACAGCGAAGTCGAATTGCAGTGTAGAGGAATCAATTGTGAGCGGCCACATGTGCCTCTGCAGTAGAGTCGTCTATTGATTGCCGACTGCTACTCCGCGTTTGCTCTTGGCTGATGAACCTTTGCAAGCTCGAACGAACATCTTGAACACCAGCAGCAGACTCCAATCACAACACATAGACTACAACTTGCAACCTGTCTCGGCATGAAGCAAGGCTGTGCCGCTGCTCGTAGAGTTGGGGACCTCGTGCGCAATAGCAAAGATACAGGGTGAATCGTGAAGAATAGAGCAGCTGTTTTCGGGTACATGATGTCGTAGATTTGAGTATTCATCTGGCAAGAGTACACGTAACGTTATGAAGCAGAAGTCGGCATGGCAGGCGGCGCGGTGAAGGGCTGAGGCACGATTGGCAGACTTTGCCAAGGCGCTAGAATAAGCTAGGAGAGTGGCTTCTTTTCCTGCAAAAACCTTCACGCTTCTTCTTCAACACACAATCGAGAATTTACTGATCTGTCGTCGCGTCCAAATCGCTGTGCAGAATCAACAGCCCATCACAGAGCACACAGTCGCAAACTCCCTGCTCACTACTCATCAGGTGCACGAGAACTGTTGACCGACTACCCACGCCGCACGGTAAGCTCAAGACTTCTCCCTTCAATCTCCGCCCCTCACAAAATGATGAATCTTCATTACATCTTTCTGGTACCTCTTAGATGCATGGACGCGCAAGTGTCCAGATGACTTCAAATGGACTTCTGACATCTTTGTTCTTTCTTCGGCTCTGCGACCTGTTCACATGACGAGATGGGAGCACTTCGAGCTGACTCCGGTTCTAGCAGGTATTTATTTATATACGGTGTTCTGCTCGGCCTTCGGCATACAAATCGCCACGGGGGACCATATTTGTTAACTTTGATTCAAGCTTGCAGGACCAGGCCTGCTTGCCTGGATCAGGCTGGATGTGCCGTTTGTTGATGCTGATGCAGTCGAGCATTCCTCGCTGTTCTACCTAATGTGAAAAACCGCGATATCCTAGCGTCGAATGCACACGCCAACACGGCACACTCGCTCTAACTACAGCATGATAAGCGGATCGTCCAGACTTGAGAGTCCTCATCTCCAGGCCGCGCGGCGAATCACAACAATATTGCAGAGAAGTACGTGTGCAATTATCGTGTGGTGTGGTGTTTTCGGGACCATGCCGACTACTGAACCGATCAGACGCGCTTTTGCGTGCTAGTTACGAGATCGGCCTGTCCAGCAGTCGAGGCCAGCAGAGATGCATTGGGAGGGTAGACGTCCACATTCCACGCTGTGGCTCGGCCATCACATTCGAATACAACTTCATGCGGTGACCAGTCAGGCGGCTAGGCTGCCTAGCGATAGCACATGTCATATTCTATAGTGACAGGCAATACATAGGCAGTGCCCACTCGACAGCGTAATAATCGCATTGGACCACACGCATCCAGACTGCATTTTCGTCGTCGGCGACCCTTCTTCCAGCCCGCCAGAACTTCGCGCCGCGCCGCCGTCTGGTGTCGCAGCCGCAAATTAGATGTGGAGACGGCACCCGCTTTCATCCAATAAGCGCCCAGACAGGGAAGGTGCCCGTCCCTCGATCCTTCCCAATCATAACGGCTCGGGCGCCCGTTTCATATACTCCTGAGTCCTATTCTTGCTCTCCCTCGCATCCGTCGGCCACAGTTAGTTATTGTTGTACGTTGCTCGTGAGCGACACTCACATTCATTCACAAGCATCTCACCCAAAGTCGCTCATTATCCCACGCATCGCGCAGCGCGTCGCTCGCTCCACCAGCTGTTCGTTGCCCACGTAAACAAACGCGACATCAACAATAGCCACCGCAACGACAAACCCCGACAATCAGAACAGAACGAACGCAGCGCGCCGAACGAACACAGGCCTCTCCACGTGCAACCTCTGGAAGGTCTCACCTCGACACGCAAACTACCTTACGCAAGTGCCACGAGACAAACGCCCAGCATGAAGTATCTCTACAGCGCCGCGGCGCTGTTCGCCGCATCCGTGTCCGCAGATTTATGCGCCCACGGCAGCACAGATGTTAATGGCAACTGGTACTGCCAGGAGGTCAAGGCTATCACCTACTCCGGCGTTGGCGGATCGGGCTCGTACAACAAGGTCACCTCCATGGGCTCCAGCGGATCATGTAGCAGCACCCCATACGGCTACTCTGGCAGCATGGCGCCCCTGGATGAGGAGGTCTCGATGCACTTCCGCGGTCCACTGCGCCTCAAGCAGTTCGCATTCTATGCTCCAGGCTCTTCTTCCACCAAGATGGTCAAGGCAAGGAGCGCAAGGCCTAGCTCTCGTGAGCGCCGCAGCGCACTTGGTCATGGTCACGCTCACGCCCATGCACACCTGCACGACAAGCGTGAGGCTGATCCAGACGCTGCTGTTGGTGACCTTGTCACTGATGTCATCGACGGCAAGACCGTGCACTGGCTCAACACCTACGATGGAGGTGCCTCTAGCGCACCCGCCAGCGCTCAGTCTTACGGCTCGGGCAGGTCCAGCAGCAGTGCCTCGACTTCGGGCTCAGCGGCCAGCTCTTACTCTTCATCTGACGACACCATCAGCGGCTCTGGCTGGACTCGCCAGGGCTACTACAACGCTCAGGACCAGACTTCTGAGGGCATTGTCTTCCTCAACCACGAAGGTGGCTCAGGCTCTGGTGTTTTCGACATGACCTACGGTAACTCGCTCTCTTACGCCAGTACTGATGGCTGCTCTGGTGCCTCGTCCCCACAGATCCTCAAGGACTGCCAGCTCAAGTCTGACACCGAGGTTGTCATCATGACCGACAAGAAGTGTTCTGGTGACAGCTGCGGCTTCGTTCGCCCAGGCACTGTCGCATACCACGGCTTCAACGGCCCAAGCAAGGCTTTCTTCTTCGAGTTCAGCATGCCAGATGATGGTACCACTGCTGCCAGCATCTACGACCCAACCAACATGCCAGCCATCTGGATGCTCAACGCTCAAATCCCACGCACTCTCCAGTACGGTAAAGCTGACTGCTCTTGCTGGACCTCCGGCTGCGGTGAATTCGACATCTTCGAGGTCCTCGCTGCTGGTGACAAGCGCTGCAAGTCTACTCTGCACGGCAACATTGCTGGTGGTGACAGCGACTACTTCGCTCGCCCAGTCGATAAAACCATCAAGGCCGCTCTCCTTCTGTACAAGGACAACATCCACATTAAGATTCTTGATGACAGCACCCAATTTGGCAAGACCATGGATGACACCTTCCTTGACAACATGATGAAGGACACCATGACTGACAGCTTGGAGAGGCTTGTCTCGCATTTCGCGCTCAGCAAGAGCTCTTAAAGGCAGCACGAGTCTGCAGTGATTCTATCCCAACAGTATAGGGTAGCAGCAGGGAGTTTTCGGCGTTGAAATTGAATTCCTGGCCACGGCCTGCTTTTGCGAGCTGGAAATATGCTGGTCAGGTTGTCTTGCATTGGAGAGGTTGTCGCGCCGAGGGGGTGTGATTCGGACTCGACCGCGCCTGTACATAAGCTAGATGACAAGCCGTGCTGAAGCCGCAGACTCTCGAGGGTGCCTACGATGTCAGTATGTTAGAGGTACGAGCCTCGGCGGAAGTGCGTGATGAGTACACAGAGAGGCTGGTGGTACAGAGTACAATTCTGTTATTCGCATGAAGCCATGCATCCTCATCGTTTCCCATTTTACCCACATGTTCGCAATCATGTCTTTTGAATGTGCCTTCTAGTCATTCTAGCCATGGATGTCAGCGGAGCCATGCACTCTCGTGGCATAGATTCCTGCTCGTGCAGGGTGTGGTGTGGTGTGGCGTGGCGTGGCAGGTAGTACCAGGAAGAAGGATACGGTCAGGAAGAGCAATACCTCGGCTTATTTCTTGGCGGCTGCAAAAAGCGATCGCAGACGGAATGTTATCCTCATTGTTACTCGCAACTTTCCCCGAACTTCTCAACTTTGGCACTCTCGGTACACTTCTCTTACATTCACCACTCCCTACCTTCTCCAGTCCCACGCATTCAGCGCATTTGCCTGTGGAGTGTGTGGTTTCTACACCGAGGCACCCTTGTCCGCGATTCTCGGTTCATCGGCGAGCTTATCGACTCCGCACGACGACATCGCGAGAGATGCTTTGCGCGCGAGCAGCATAGGCAGCCAGCGGAGGCCAGCGTACATACGCTGAGAGAGCCTCGTCGCAAGCGTCGAGCACAATGTCTGCCGGCTCACCTCCCAAGCCGTGGGAGAGAGCGGCAGCCGGCAGCGGATCCGGTATGTTTTCAGCACCTCGGCGACGGCGACGAGATGAAATGGCTGACAAGGCTGTAGCGGCAGTGCCCACGTTGACCACAACGACTGCCACCGCAGCGACGCCGACTGCAAATGGAGCACCGACTCTACCGGCCAGAACAGATGCGCTGAACGCCGTCGCAACACGGACGGCCACGAATTACAGTAGTCCTTACAACCGGACATCGCCGTATTCCTCACCATATGGGTACGGCGGAATGAGCGGCATGAGTTCTTACAGCTCTCCTTACAATCGATTCGGCGGCATGGGAGGAATGTACGGAGGTGGCATGTACGGCGGGGGGTATGGCGGTATGGGTGGAATGTACGGCGGAGGAATGTACGGACAGCAGGGCATGCAGATCGGTCCAGACGGGCAGCCGACGAGCCTGACGCAGAGCTTTAGTAACAGCACGCAGGCGACGTTTCAAATGATTGAGAGCATAGTGGGCGCTTTCGCTGGATTTTCGCAGATGCTGGAGAGCACGTACATGGCGACACACTCGTCATTCTTTGCGATGGTCAGTGTCGCGGAGCAGTTTGGAAACCTCAAGCAGACACTAGGCTCGATTCTGGGCATTTTCACAGTCATGAGATGGATCCGAACGGCTATCGCGAAACTCACGGGACGACCGCCTCCAGCAAATTCGAAGGAATTGACGGCTGCGAATTTTGCTGCTTTCACTGGCAAGGCTGGTGCAGATGGTGCTCCTGGACAGCCAAAGCCAAGCAGAAAACCATTCATCTTTTTCATTGCCGCCGTGGTGGGTCTGCCGTGGCTCATGGGTAAACTCATAAGAGCAATGGCAGCGTCGCAAGAAGCAGAGCAGCAGCGTCAACTTGCGAACGCACCATACGGTCCAGATGGCCAGCAACAACCTCTGGACCCATCGAAGCTCGACTTTTGCCGAGCCATCTACGACTATCCACAACCGGGCCAGCAGTTCCAGGAAGGTGTTGATTTAGCCGTGAAGAAGGGCGATCTCGTCGCCGTACTTTCCAAAACAGATCCAATGGGCCAGCCATCCGAATGGTGGCGATGCCGAGCGCGAGACGGAGGTGTCGGATACATTCCATCACCATTCCTGGAGACCATTCAGCGAAGACCACAAGCGCAGATTGCGGCGAAGCCCAACGCAAGTGCGCCAGGCAGCGAAGCCAACTCAAGACTCAACACCATGACCACAGATCCGCAAAGTCGTGCAAACAGCATGAAGATCACGGATAAAGAGAAGGCAGAGGTCAAGAAGGCGCCAAAACACCTTCCACCGGCGATCAGAGGCAAGGCTGGAGATATTCCACTTGAGAGCTTTCAGCGGGGAGCGTTCAATTCTTGAGCGACAATGACATTCCAGCCATGTGTATAGCAACTTTCTCAGGACTTTTGCGAGGCGTTGGAGGCGTTCCTAAATACTGTAGATAAGCCGACGGCTCACGCGGGACATTGTTATCGTGAGTATTCAGAACCTTTTGAGGTAGTGCAGAAAAAGCACTTTCAAGTTTCAAGCCATCGCTTCATGCATGATGCGCATTTGTCTCGATATCTGCTCAAGACCACCGCGCTCTCATTCGGACCGCTAATCCTCACTCGGAACGCAAATACAAACCCAAGCTAATTCATCACCTCAACCGTCGGAAGCGCAGCAAACATCGCCGCCCCTCCATGCTGCAAATGCACCCAACTCTCCGTATCCTTTTGCTTCTGCTTGTAATTCATGACATCCTCACATCGATGCGGCGTCCCCACCGTCTCCCCACAAATGCACGTCCAAGCTCGAAGAGAATTGGTTCTGAGAGTGAGTGTCAATTTCACTTTCCTTCACTAAGCAACATCCCTAAACATCAGCAAATGCAATAAGGAGAGGGAGGGGGTCGGTGGAACGAACTTACGTCAACTTTCCCACCAACGCCTCTTTAAACTCCTTCACCATAGTTTCCGGCCACGGCTTCGTAGCTTTAGCATCTTTCTTACTGTCGTCTTTGAGGAGGAAGGCGTTCTTGTGGAATGACAGGACATCTACGGCTTTCGTCTTATCCTTGTCTTCGCGGCGGTTTACGACGGCTTGCAGGAATTTGTAGCCGTCGTTCCAGAATGCTTTGGCGGCTTTTATTGGGTCTCCTTCGGCGAAAACTCCGGTTTCGAAGTGCAGGCGAGTGAGGGTTGTGACTTCGCTGAGGTAGTGGAGGGCGTTGCGCGCGGAGGTTTTTTGGTAGGTTTTTATCTCGATGTTGGTGACGGTGTTGCGGAGATGGCTGTTGGCCATGAAGAAGTCGACGGTTGTTTGGGTTGTGTCGAAGCGGAGGGGGCGGGCGTTGAAGATTTGGAGGGCTTCCTTGTGGACCTGTGAGGGGTTAATGGGTTTGGTGTGGTGTGGTGAGCGAAAGGGTGGGACTCACTTGTTTGCTAACTGCTAGCAAGGCCACGCGCTGCTTGGAGCCATCGGCAAAGGCTTTGGCGAATGGCTCTTTAGTCGTTTGGCGCTTGCCGTCGATGATGATGGAGCCGTTGACGAGGGCTTTGGCGGCGAAATAGTAGCGGTAAACCAGATTGCGTGCCTCGACGGAAATACTCATGAAGTCAAATGGCTTGGCTGGGCGTACGATGATTGCTTGATGACCAGCGTACTCACCATCGGTGAGCATGACCTATAAGACATAAAGTTAGCATTCGATGATTCGATGGCTATGGACAACTTAATCAACCAACTCACCGACTTCTCGAGTGTGAACGCATTTTCTGCGGTCAGTTTGAGAATCTTGCCATACGGAATGCCTTTTGTGCGTAGTATGGCTTGTGGGTTGTTACCCTCGTAGCTGACGTCGATGGGTACCAGAGGTCCAGCTGTGTCCTTGGGGAGCGATTTGAATTCGACACTCTGACTAGTGGCGCGCTTCGTTGGGGTCTTCGTTGGGGTCTTGCTGGGAGTAGCCGTCTCAGCCTTCGCCTTGGGCTTTTCCGGCGTGGCTGGAGGCTTGTCCTCCGCCTTTGCCTTCTATGCAGCGTAAGTAGGTGAAGCAAGGGCAGATGTTATGCATACGTACGGTTGAACCTTTTGGCGGCATCTTCAACGTTCTGCCTTCCTTGGATCTGCGACCGAATTGTTGTTCAGTGGCAGAGCGGTTGCGGTTGGTCGATGTTGTGAAGTGGTGTTGACCGTTGCAACAAGTGCAAGTCGGAAGGATGGATATCCACTGAAGACAAACGTAGCGGACAAGCTCACTTACACGCTAAATGACAGAAGCAAGAAAGAAACGGCACGTGCAACTCACTGCAGTCAGGCATGCGGTTCGAAGTGAGTCTGATTGCATGGCCATTGGCTGATTGTTGTCCATTGGTGGGGGGTCAGATTGTAGCCTATCGATACTCATGCAGGGCCGTTGAGGTGAAATCATGCTTGATGGAACATCAGAAAAGATGTTTCTAGATCACTCAGAGCAAGTCAAAGCATGGGACATCGAAGTGGTTCTGAGCTTTCGTACCTGAGCCAAGGCTGGTCGGATGCGGCGCCTGTCTTCGCACCAGCATGTGACATTGCTATAAGCACCGAAGATTGATGGCGATGGCAGCTGTATGTGTGCTCTGATGAGTAAGAAGAGATGGTCCATGATTGTTCTTGCTGAGCACTTGGAGCGGTGCAGGTGGCACATCATCATATATGGACCGTGGCCTATAGCTCTCTTTCTTGCTCTCGTCCACAAGCTCCGTGGCAGCGTTTTCGAAGAATTGTCGATGCAGATATGAAGTGGTGAGGTGATGTGAACCCTGCATGCCAAGACTTCGAGACGCGCTTCTCGAAGAAGTCGCGACTCCAACTCCAACGGTGCAGCTCTCGTTTTCAAACACCATTAATCATTCTGTTCTATCACACGCTCACACATCATGGCGGACACAAATCGTACCAATGGCATTAGTGCTGATGTTGAGATGAAAGAGGAAGTCCCAGCAGAAGTAGGAAACTTGGACTTGTCCCCGTAACCTCCAGCTAACATGTCCAGACCTCCCTCAGCAACATCCAGCAAGCAGATCCCACAGACCCAAACCCTCCGCCTCAGGTCTCCGTCAACCCAACAGCACTCTCCCAGCCTGAGCATCTCTCCTCGATCGCTCCAGCAGTTGCTACGCCTCCAGCAGGCTCGAGCGCGAACAGACCCGGTTCTATGCCACCGCAGCCATCAGCTCGACCTGAGAAACCCGTAGCACACGGAGGCCCGACTAGGCAGTACCTGAACTCACACGTTACCCCGCATCTACTCGAAGCTATGAAATACTTGGCAGTGTACGAGCCTGAAAAGCCATTACTGTGGCTGTCAGATTTTCTCCGCGATCGAAGCAAGGAGATCGAAGGCTAGGGAGTTTTCAAGAACTGGTACAATTCATGGATTTGGCATAGCGACGGAGTTGACGGAGAGGGTTATGGATGGGATTGAACGGGCGCCACTGATTCTGGGAAGATACCCACGTGTTCATGATAACAGTTCGAAGCCTAAAGCAGGTTACTGCTCAGGTCAGATCCAGTCTGGACCTTTAGCGACTTCGGAAATTACTCGTTTTCACGCGGACAATGCCTTGTCGCTGGAAATTTAACAAAGAGTTCTCCAACAATGCTCTTTGTATTCACAAAGCTTGGGTGCGCCTCTGTTGTGAAGAATCGCCCTCTTCCACATAGTTAAGACACGGCGTCCCTCGGGCTCGACTCCACACTCCATCTACTCGGAAACTTTTTCTTCTGCAAAACATCGCTTTCCTGGTGAAAGCGTAGACTTGCATCAGACAGCTAAGTAGACTTGCCACAGAGTCTACACCAAATTGCATCTACCATCACTGCTTCGGACGACAAGCTCACTATCCTATCAATCACAATGGAAGAGATACGCGCTAAGACAATTCAGGCAGGAATCGAACGAATGATGTTGGACCGCGAGCGTTTCCGTGCTCAGAATGACATGGCCTTCGAACGATTCTGGGACCAGCGACTCAACGAGCTCAGGGGAATCGGCATGCCAGAGAACCACCCACAGTTCCAGGTGGTGATGAAAGAAGAACGTGCTGCATTTCCACGGTGGCAAGCTGCTAAGAAACGAAGAGACGAGCTCTCCGCAGCATTGAAGGCTAAAGACGATGAGCTCGACAGACTCGAAGCTGAAGCTGTGACGCTTGAAAAGGACCTCCGTCAGGAGCAGGAGCGCAAGCACTATCACTCGAAAAGATCCTTCCACTACACTGACATCCCGTACAGGTCGCGTGGTGGATCTCAGTCCGAGAATGACTACGGCTATGGCTCACGTGGACCATCTCAGACAGACAGGTCTCGAAAGCGTGGCGAACAGCGTCCTCTCCCACGACAGCAGAGCTCATACGAGCAAAAGTCTCGCCAAGACCAGTCGCGTGCTAATCCAAGCAGAGCGTCCGAACCTCAACCGTCTCGCAACTCGCCCCAGACTTACGCCTCCCAAGTCGAAGCTTGGTACAACTACACCGTTGCCGTATTGTCGAATGACAATCGTGCCAACCTCAAATATTTCCCGACTCCGCCCCCAGCACCATGCAAAACCAACGAATGCACCATCCAAGACAATCTCGCACCGGGCGTCTGTAGCTGCGCCATTCGATCTGCATTTCAAGCTGCGCCTATCACTACTGGGTATAAGAAGGAAGCCACTCGTTGGCATCCAGACAAGTTCTCTTGCTGTTCCGAAGCATTTCGAGAGCAATTGAAGCGACATGCTACTATGGTTTTCAAGGTTGTAAAGGATATGTAAGAGGTAAGTCCTGCTTTTGAACAAGCCCCGTTTTCAGAACTGACGGTAGGTATGAGCGGTCGTGCTGGTTTCCTAGAGCGCCACTTGTTAGTACAAAAATATCATCTTTCGATCCATTCTCATTTACCCTTTCCTCACGTTTCTATAGACCAATTATTGCATTTCTGCTGAGTCGCACTGAGATTAGCTCGCGATGAGGGCAAGCAAGTCTTCTCAATGAGACATACCTAGGCCATCAAGCACTCCTAATGAATGACCTCATGGGGAAGCGGCAATAGCACGGCATCAAACCTGGAACAGAAGAGAGTTCCTCGACGATACCCTGCATCCTGGCCAATCATTCGATCCCGAGAAGAGTGCTGTTGTTCCATTCGCTCAGTCAGCGATAGCATCCTACCACCAAAAACTCGCATATTTCCAATGAGAACCCTCATGGCAAACACTTTGGATATGGCTTGTCGTTGTGCCTGACGAATTGAATTTCGAACGCAGGGATTATCAAGAGCCTCACGTAAGTCTGAAGGATGATCAAGGTGAATGAGCGTGCTGACGCTGGGCATCAAAATTTTGTCCGCTCGACTGCTGAAGCAGTTGTACGGGAATCGCTCCATCTGAGGACATCTTTAGAAGCCTGGCTGTTTTGTTGAAGTTTGGTAGGTAGTGCAACAATTTAAGGGTTTATCTGCGCACGAGTCACTTCGATTGGGAGGCCTTATCACGATATAGGGCTCAATCGCCTTCAACTCATGTTGCACTTGCCCAACTGCAGTCTACCGCTGCGAATGATCAAGTGTCGTAACGCAGGAACAGCGCTTGCAAGATTCTTGGGTGACTGCCATCAACTAGGCAGTATTAGGCTCAATGGCTCTGAGGACGTTGCTAAGCTCATCGGTAAGACAAAGAAACTCTGAACCCGCAATGAGTCGACCACGTTGCTCATGTCGATCAGCAGCAAACCACGCGGCTTGCTACAAAGATCCTTCTTTTGCAACCCTTTCATCGGTGGATTTTCATGCCACATCAATTAGCGCATGGTACGCTGGTGCCAGAAATCGATGAGATGGTATTTAATGTTGGTATATGATTGTTTAATCCAATCGCACCGTTTCCTGGGTACAGTACATTCCTACAGTACAGCTTTGAATCCTTTGAAATAATCCTTTGAAGCGTGGCACACAGCCCGCTGGCATTTCTCATCAGCGCGCATGTATTACCATATATGTCGATCAAATGTCACAATGATACGTGAGGCGTTTGATGCGTTTTGAGCTGAGTTGAGGGTGGCAGCGAATAGCGAACAGTGAGCAGTTCTGTCTGACGATGTTGCTTTGCGCCAGCTTTTGAGCTGAGGGTTCTGTACGACTGACGGTGATATTCGGTGGGATTTGCACGTTTGACAGGATGCGACCCGTGGCGTGGGTCGCTGGCGTGTTCTATTGATCAAGGGCTGGGTTGATTGCAAGAAAGGCTTGGATATAGCAGAAGATGTCCTTTCTTCCTGTACCCTTTCAACTGATGTCTCTTCATCGATACGTTAGTGCGTTCAAAACATCAAGATGAGTTTTTGTGTACCACTGCCACCATCCTACGGCCGGTCATACTCATCCCTGTATTCGTTCCAACCTTTCACATCGAAAAAGATGTCAAGAAAGTCGAGGCCAAACTCAACCGACACCATGTCGCCAAGCAGGAAGTCACCCTGTATGTCTTCCACTGAGAGACAATCCTCAGATGTCGCTTCTTCGATACGAACAAGCAGTCCATTCGACTCAAAGCCATCTCTAAAAACGACCAAAACCAAGACCTCCTCAACCTCGCGGAAATCTACCCGCAGCTGGATCAAACGCATATTCTCCTCATCACCAGAAGACATCGACGACGAGGACCCGCGCGCCAAGGACAAGGAGAGGAATTCCATGTGGCGAAGCATGAGTCTGGGGTATGCTCACTACGCACCGCCGCCCTTTGCATAAGGTAACGTAGCTGATGGTCCAGATATGCAAACGTCGGGCTATACGCTGACGTGGGAGAAGTTACAGGAAGGTGAATATTGCATTCCTTCTGCATGGCTTATCGCTGTCGTTTCCGCATAATGGATATCCTTACTGAAGCTAGGTGTTCTGCCGTAGGGCTATGAGTTATGGCGGACCATGGTGAGATGGATCTGGAGATGAAGTAGGGTTGACGAGAGAGGCTGATTTTCGTTGTGAAGGTCGAATCCTAAGCCTTCACCATGGATGGGTGGATTCTGAGGGTTCGTCGCCTTCGGAGTCTGGGGTTGGAATTCTGATGATCGGTTCCTAGTCGGCAATGATACCCAGAATGCAGATACAATGGGTTTATATTAGGCAATCTCGATGCTGCATTTGCCAAATCCCTGTAGGGCTGAGGTCGCATGCGCGCGACTGCTCTTGAGTTGGGACCACCACTAGATGTTCACGGCGCATCTTACATGCAACTGTCGAAGTCCATGATGGACGTGCTCAAACCTGATCATATTGTCGACCGGGTCTACAGTGCCCTCACACCGTCTTGCTTATCGCAGAGCCGTTGTTTCTTGGCCAAGAGGACAGCCTAGGCTTCGTCATCAGTAGAAAGGCTAGACGAAAATGCTTGGAGCGGGATGTTGGGAGCTCCCAGACGTCGTAGGTAAAACGAGAGCATTCTGCCTATATCTTCGTTATGGCCCTTGCCGGTGCAACAATGATCCATCATCCGTGGAGCCAGCCAACAGCGGACAGCACGACGGTGGAGCGTAGGCAGACCAACATGCATAACGTTGCCTAGCACGGGCCCTACAATAACTGCAGAGCAGTAAGAATAGCCTAGCTCTAGATACCTTAGGCTATTACTCTAGGCACCTGAAAATGGTCTACATCGTCTCCAGTATACCAGAGTAAACACAGATCGCACGAGAAAGTCTGGGCGAACCTTTGCAGCGGGTTGGCAATCGAAGAGGCTCATCGAAGGGATTGCTCTTGACAGCGCCTTCTCGCCTCCAGAGTGACAGAGTCCAGACCATCAGGCCTTGCGGGGACATAGCAGCCACCTGTTAACATTGCAAAGTTATTATCTCATTTAATTCGCTCGGTAAGACGGAAGCGCATGGAATGTTTCCAGCAGTTGGTTCCTAAGATGGTCGCCTTTATTATTCTCACTTTCCCATCGCGAAAGTCGCTGTCGCCTTGTGCAAAGAAAGTAGCAAGCAACGCAAGTAGGAGGGCTGGCGACATGCCCCTACAACCATGGCGTCGGTACTTTGAGCCGTTCCACTAAGGAGCAGAATCGAGGTGATGGTCAAGCAGCTCGAGGTGTGTGCCACCAGTCAAGTCGAGACTGTCGAGTTTGAAGTTTGAAACACGAAGTCCTGGTGGACTTTGGGAGAGACAGCCTTGTAATTTGCTGTATCCAGGATCTGATCGAGATGTGGAAGCTTCGCTTAAGTAGTCGCCTCCCCCTCGCCCCTGCTCGGGGATTTGAACTATACGTAAAATCGCACTTTCTTAGTAGGCTGTACGTAAAACTCAACGACAGCAATGTTATAGAGTATATACAATAGGAAACTAAATATAGGTACGATAAGGGATAAGAAACAGTAGATTTCTAATATACTAGCGACTAAATTATAACTATAGGACCTTAATCTAGCCTCTTAGCAAACCTCGAGTCTACTATATAATTAATTACTTTATATATCGGCCTATATATCTATTATATAACTACTACCTTTTCTTATTAAGTAAATAGCTAACTACTATATCTACTATCTACTTCTACCTCTTCTAGCTTAATAGAGTTATTCTTACTACTAGCGACCGCGCCTCTATAATAGTTAGATTTCTTAGGAACGCTATAGCCTATAGAAATAGCGCTTGCTTTATATAGACTCGTAGTAGCGACGAGGAGGTACTAGATAGGGCTAAATTATTATATAGATAGTATTTCTATCTAGTAGCGCCTTATCTTATTATAGCTAGTCTAGTCGAGTATTAGGCTCTTACGCAAATAGGCTATTTAGCTATCGCTTTAGCTTAGTAGTCTATACTATAATATTACCTTCGTTATAGGCTTATAGCCGTAGATATAACTTAGTAATAGTAGTATTCTTAGCGGACTCTAGCTATAAGTAACTATACTGCTATTAGATATATTAGTACTACGCCTATAATTGCTAAGAATAGTCGTATATAGATTACTAGTCTTCTTTAGGATATTATTATTACTACTATTATTGTTTAGCTTTAGGCGCTCCGCTAAAGCTTTCTCTATACCTAATATAGTTAGTATCGATACCTAAGGATATAGAATTACGTAGAAGAATCTATAGCACTCGGAGCGCCTAAAAGGAGGCCTCGCTACTTCCCCGAGCCCTAGCTACCCGCCCGAGCCCTAGTAATATAGTAGATTATAGAATCCGCTATTCCTAACAAAATCGCGTAGGGAAGCGATTTCCGGATCCCTATAACTACTACCGACCGGGCAACTACTTCTATACTGCTACTAGCTATAAAGCTAAAGTTTATTAGCAAATTAGTAGTATAGCAAAATTTAAGGTGTTATTAGTTGCTATCTACTTAGGTCTAAGCGGATTACGACCTACAGCCTTGTAACTACGTAATGCTATATATACTAGCTTATATTAGTCCCTTATTTGCTAACTAGCCTACTACTATATATAATACTACTACTAAGTGAACTAATAGTACCATTATTATAGCACCTAGTAGTAAAGTAGCCGTACTATTAGCTATATAAGCGACTATTGTTATTGTTATTGCTACTAGTACTAGTAGTGTTGCTAAGCAGCCTATCGTTATTGCTATTTAAACAATGCCGCCTACTGTCGGCTATATTTAATCTATTACTAAGTGCGCTATTCTTTATGCGCTCGAAGGTTATTAACCTCTTACTATAGACAGTCTAGCTTAGAAGGAGGTTGTAGTTTAACTAGAAGTGCTTCTTACTATAGATTATAATAGTTAAAGCCTATAGGGTAATAGGCAGGTCTATAGGTACGGTTAGCCTTCTAGTAAGGGTATAACTAAGTACGGCATTAGCTCTTAACGCACTTATAGTAAGCAATAGTAGTCCTTAACTAAGTAAGAGATACGCCTAGCTCTAATATAAAGTCTACGGTCCTTGCTATTGCTGTCTTCTGCTTCTTAGCTACTACTATCTTATTTAAGTCGTCTAGTTCTCGAGCCGTTACTATACGCTTTGTTATATACAACGTCGCTCCGCTAGTAAGAGGTTTGCGGTTGCTATAGATTACTTATAGCTCTCGAATACGATACGAGTCGAGGAGCCGTACCTTTCGGAAGTCGACAAACTAGTAAGCGTAGAAGTAAGAAGGCAATAGCACTACGCGGCTATCCTCTATCTCTAAAAGCTTTATAATATCGTAAAGATATAGATAGCTATAAGTCTTAGATAGGTAGTCGTTGCAGCGGCACTATAGACAAGAATACGAGTAAGCCAAGTGCTTAATCTCGTTGCTATTAGCATTAACTATAGCCTTTAAAAGCGAGTTAGTACGCGAGTATAGAGCCTATACTTCGAGAAGGCAATAGTCGCTAATAACTCGAGTAATAGAAGACTAGAATAGACCGATTAAGGCCTTAGAACAGCGCTTTAGGTTATTAGCGAGTATAGCACGGCAGCGGTCGTAGCCTTAGTACTACTAGTTAAGAAGCGACTCGAAGAGGGTAAAGATATCGTATCGACTGCTATAGTTTAACTACTCCTTAATCCGACCGTAGGTTGCCTCGACTCGTAACGTTGTTTTATAGCTAAAGTGCATTACTTAGTTAGTCTAGAAGTAGACAATCCTCTCCTTATAATACTACTAGTTGTTATTTAGATAGGACTTAAACTATAGAAACACGTTGTCTAGCTTATAAGCCTTATCGTTAAATTCTTCCTCGGTCTAACTCTAGACTATATAAGTAAACAGCTTTATAAACTAAGTAGTCCTTGGACTGTTGGTCTACGAGCTATCGTTAGCCTTTACCTATACAAAGTCGCCTCGTTCTTTACGCACTCGAGTTAATATATCTTATTATAGGTACTAGTCGCAGACGATATTCTTAGATTCTAGATATACCTCGTTAATAGCTAATATAAGAGCCGCTTTACGGTTAGTGCTAAAGACAATAGGTAGTAGACAACTATGCTTCTCGAAGCTATTCCGGATAGACTATAATAGCTATATAAAGGCCGCTTTGTTAGGCTTCGGTTTAATAAGCCTAATACCGAGTTTAATCGTATTATTTATCGGTCTAGCGGCTATAATATCTAGCAACTCGAGGTTGTATAGATTAGTACTATAAGTCGTGTCTAAATAGATAATATATAGCGTATCCTTATAGGCAGAGAGCGACTATAGATAGAGGGCAACTATTAACCGAATTGCACTATTCTTAGGATTAGTTGTTATCTCGTAGAAGATTGAATTCTCGTCTAATAACTTTACTATTCTCTCGGCCTAGTTTAACTCTCTTCGCGCGATAGTATTACGGTTAAAAGCAATATTATATATATCGTATAGATTTAGAATAACTCCCTACCCTCGGAAATAGGCTAGAATCTTCGAGGTTAGCATTCGTAACTACTATAATCGCTCTAGTTGCTTAAGGAATTACTAAGACCTCGTACGGACACGCATATTAGTTAATAAGACAACGTCGTTAGGTCTATAGTTATACTAGCAATATAGATCTTTAGAAGAATAGCGAATATACTACTAACTCTCTAGCTTACGAGAGTTAACCGCAACGGCGTATGTTAGGGCTAAAGAGGCTATACGTAATTGGTATATAACTAGACCGAGTAAAGCTAGGGTCTTAGTGCCTTAGGCAGGGCTTAGCGCTTAGCAATAGGCTAACTCTCCTACCTTCCTCCCTCTCCTCCTAGAGCCTTATCGAATACTACCTATACCTACTACTACCCTATCTACCTACTAATATAACCCTTCTTATACAGTATTCGATCTACCCTTTAAGGGCAGTAGCTAGATAGTCCTTATTTTAAGCTTTTAGCGGTATAGCTACGAAAACTATCGATTTAACTATATTATGCCTAAAGAACGGGACCTATACGTACTAGTCTATTAAAACAACTGTACTAATTATCAAGCAAGGCCTTCTATACGGCCTATTATACCGAGTCAATCGTACTAGACCGATATCTACTAATTCCGCTATATCCGTATCTTAGGGGCTAATAATATATTATTAGTATTACCCCCTATTATAATAGCCGGCTTATTATAAAGCAACAACAACCGCGGCGCCGCTAGCAGCGCTAGTAATAACAACTCTAGTAGCATAGTGCCTACTAAAGTGCCCGCTAAAGAGCCTACCGGAGGGCCTACTAAAGAACCTATAATTCTAGGTAACAATCTAGAATTACCTATCGACGATATTCTTAATAACATTGTTAATCGTCGATATAGCTAACTAGCCTTTAGTCCTTAACTAGTAGGGAGACTTTAAGAAGCTACCTAAAACAGGCTTACTGCCCTACGCTAAGAATAATAGCTAAAGGACGACCTCCTCGAACTTCGCCGCCTTTAGGAAGCTCCGATAACTAAACCTATAGTAGGACCTTCTTTATTATCTATTTAGAAGAGGAAGGATGCTAAGCTTAAGGACTATACTGTGTTTAACGGCTCTAGTCGCAAGCAATACAATAATTATATACGTAATTGTAAGCTTAACTAGCGAAATATACTAAGGGCTCTTCTAGACGACTATTTACTAGTTGTCTACGCTATATAGTATATTAATAGCGACCTAAAGCGTATATAGGATAATTATTTCGACTCCCTTAATAACTAGACTGCTATTTAGTAGCAAACCTACAAAACTATTATACTAGACACCCTTAGAAACCCTATACTAAGGCAATAATATACTTAGGACCTGTATCTTCGAGCTAAACAGAAGACTAATCAATCGGCTCGCTTATTCGAGGCCTATTTAAAGACCCTCGAGGATAACCTTCCGGCTAAGACTAATTCTATATAGATCTCCGAGATAC